CTTTCTGTCTCTATAGATTTTCCTATACTGGACATATTACATAAAGGGGATCATACAGTATGTGGTCCTTTGTGACTGGCTTCTTTCACTTAGCATGATGTTTTCAGAGTTCGTCCATATTGTAGTATGTATCAATACTTCATTCCCTTTTTCGACTGGATAACATTCCATTGTGTGGATGCACCACGTTTTGTTTATCCATTCATTGGTTAATGGAAATTTGGGATGTTTCCACTTTTGGCTATTGTGTGTAATGCTGCTATGAACATTTGTGTATAATTTTTTGTGTGCACACATGTTTTCGCATCTTTAGGTTTATACCTAGGAGTGGAATTGCTGGGTCACATGATAACTATGTTTAACTGTTTGATGAACTGCTAGACTTTTCCAGAGCAGCTGCATTATTTTGCATTCCCATCAGCAGTGTATGACATTCCAGTTTCTCTACATCCATACCAGCACTTGTTTTATTATTTTTATTAATTATTGCCAACCTAATGGGTGTGAAGTGGTATCTCATTGTGGTTTTGATTTGCATTTCCCTATTGGAAAATGTTTTTATTTGTATCTTCTCATGTGCTTATTGACTTAATCTGTTTTGGAGAAATGTCTATTCAGATCTTTTGCCTATTTTTTAATTGAGTTGTAAGATTTTTGTATATTGTAGATACAAATCTCTTATTAAATATATGCAGTTGGCATAAATATGAGGGTTCATTTCCAGACGCTCAATTCTTTTTCATTGATTTTTGTCTAACTTTATGCTTGTACTGTTCTGTCTTAATTATTATAACTTTGATAGTAAGTTTTAAAATCAGGATGTGTCAGTCCTCCTTTTTCAATATTATTCTTTTTCAAGATTGTTTTGTCTTTTCTCAATCCCTTGAATTTTAGGGTGACTTGTCTTTTTCTACAAAGAAGCCAGCTAATATTTGATAGGTATTGCATTAAATCTGTAGCTCAGTTTAGGGAGTATTGGCATCTTAACAATATTAAGTCATCCAGTCTATGAACATGTTGTCTTTCCATTTATTTAGGTCTTTAATTTCTTTCTACAAGGTTTTATCGTTTTCAGTGTACAAGTCTCGCACTGCTTTGGTTACATTTATTCATAGGTATTTTATTCTTCGGATGCTATTGTAAATGAAATTGTTTTCTTAATTTCATTTTCAGTGTGCTCATTGCCTCTGTCTAGAAATACAATTGATTTTTGTACATTGATCTTGTATCCTGCAATCTTGCCAAACTCATTATTTTTTAAGTTTTTAGTGGAATCCTTAATATTTTCTATATAAGATTATGTCATCTGAAAGTGAGACAGTTTTACTTCTTTTCCAATTTGGATGCCTTTTAAATTTAATTTTCTTGCCTAGTTGCCCTGGAAGGGTACTTCAGCACCATATCGAAGTGATGCAAGTAGACATCCTTGACCCCTCTGCTTGTTCCTCCCTTTTCTTCTTCTGTTCTTTACACTTTTACTCTTGCCCAGTAAACATTGATAACATTATCGTAATGCTAATTGAGTCATCCATGTATTATCTATATGCCTCCTTTGAAAAAATAAAAACAATAAGCAACATTTAAAGTAGATTTGCAAATACCCGTCATTGCTCAGTCTACTATGATTATGTTTCCTTTTCTATATAAAGCCAAAACTCTAATGGCACTGAAAGAATATTCAAAAATGTTCTCTACCAAATACCACATTATAGTTTGCTCCAAATTTTATCATGCCTTTCCTATACAGATTTTTTTCCCTTGGAGTTTCTAATTGCTTTCTTTTTATTTCAGTAAAAGAAGAAACCAAACTGATGCCATCATCACTATATCCCATATATTTTTCAGCTTCTGACTTATTCTCTCAATATTTCTTCTATTCATTCTTCTTGAAACCTACTGAATTTCTGTTCCAGTTGGGACCGTTTTCTTTTTATTTGTACCATACTTTTCTAATATTCAGTTTCCCCTAATAGTTTCTGATTGTTTTTCTTACATTTCGTGCTCTGGCTCAGAGTAGTGGTTATTTTGGAGAATAACAATAGTAAGTGTGGATGAAAGGAAAATTAAATGAGGGGCCAGAAAATAGCGCTTGTCCCGGTCTCTGCATGCAGAACCGCATATGACATTGTTGCTAGGCAAACAACTAAACCCACACAATCTCTCTCCCTCTCCTCTCTCTCTCTCTCTCTCTCTCTCTTTTCCCCACACATGCACAGCACAGTGAAAGATATTCCTCTGAAGAAGCTGAATAAATAGTCCAGAAAAACCAAGGGCAACCTGTATGGGTGTGTTGGTGCCCTTGAGCAGCGGTTGGCAAACAGCAGCCAGCAAGCCAGAGCCGGCTCCACCTGTTTTTGTAAGGCCTTGTGAGCTAAGAATGTATTTTTTATTTTTAAAAAGTTGGGGGAGATCAAAAGAAGATTAATATTCTGTTCCATGTAAAAATTAAACAAAAGTCACATGTGGGTGCCCATAAACAGACTTGTACGGGAGCACAGCCACACTCGCTTGATGATTGTTTAGATCATGGCCCTTGGGTTGTTCCAACAGAGCGGGTCTGTGGTGTGCTCATGGTTATTCACGGCTGCTTGGGGCACTTCACGCGACAGACAGTATGTAATTATAACTCAGTAGCACTTTAATTGCCACATGTATCAATGTACATGTTATTTTAATCTTTAAAAAAATTACCATTGCAAATGTATCATGGCAAAACAAGTGAAAATGTTCTCGAGGCACAGTGAAGTATAGATTATCTTGTTATAGATTTGATGGTAAAATATTGTGTTTATTATGTAATGACACTATAGTTGTGATAAAGAATACATTATATATGACATTACAAGATTAAGTAATCATCACAACATTCCTAACTCATAGGAAAAAATGTGATCAGGAAAATAAGAAAATTTAAACCAGAGTATCTCATCATAGCCAAATTTATTTACAAATTTTAAAAAGTAAAATGAAGTTGCAACCAAAGTCAGTCTCCAAGTAGCTCATTGGTTAGCAAAGCAAGGAAAGCCATTTACCAGTGGTGACTTAAATTTCATTTAATTGCAGCACAGAAGAAATGTGTCCTGAAAAAATTTGTTTCACACTCATAGCTTTTAGATGAGAGCAGTTGCCCAGGATTTTGGCAACAACATCAATATCAGTTAAATGGCAAGGCAAATGATTCCCAGCTCTTTTTTTTAGCTCTTGAAGTTACTGATCAGTTATTGATACTTATTAAAGCATCAATGCCAAGTTTGAGACTAAAGACTTAATCTCTATGAATAGTCTGTATGACACTACTACAGGCAAGGATGTTTTCAAAAAAGTTGAGAATTTAGTGGAATCTCTTATGATGTGTAATAACTGACAGTAGAGCAGAAAAATGTACAAAATGTATAAATGTATAAATCTTGCGAAAATGCAAGGTATTTAAAGCTTGTGGTTATTCATTATATTATTGGTTGGCAGGTACGTTAAAGAAAATACTTGGCTCTTTCATGTGTTATTGAATGAATAATGTCAACCATGAATTTCTTTTGTTCTGGTAGACTTAACCATCATTGTTTCTGTGAAGTTTCTGAAGAAATAGATGCTGACTTCCCCTACCACACAGCAGTTAATAGATTAGCAGCAATAAAGTTTTCCTGTGATTTTTTAATTCAGAGCTGAGACTGAAAGTTTTTTAAACAAGAACCACCCTCAACCATTATTATTGAATGGCTTTGTAAATTAGCTTTGCTAAGTTGATACTGAATTATCAAATTAATATTTAATATCAAATATTTTATAGTGTAATAGTTTACAAATAGAATTTAAATTCTAATGATTGAATTAGCTTTTGATAATTTGATAGTTGATACTGTTTTTTAATAAAATCAACCTAAAATTACAAGGTAAAACAGCACTTAAACAAGAAACTTATACTGTAGTAAAGTTCTTTTGACAATTAACGTTGGAATGACAGGTAATGCCAAGCTACCTTTTATACTTCCCATACTATTAAAAGTTAAGAAAAGATGTAAGAACTCTATTCTCACACAAATTTGCTCAGATGACACTTCTAGTAGTTTCCTTCCCTACTCTACCTTCCACTTATTGTGAATTATTATTTTTAAAAATTATTTTACTTTTATAATAGTGGGTCTTCAGAGGAAAGAAGGTCAACATGCTTGCTATCTTGAACTAGCAATAAAGGAATCATAAACCTATGTGGACTAAGCTTGGACAACCCTTCCCTAAGCCTCATCCATTCATTGCCTCAACCCAAGGAGCACAGTGTTTGGTAGTGAGGAGAGATACAAACAAATAATTATAGAACAATGTCATAAATATGGTAATAGAGATGTGTACAGATGTTGTGGGTGTATAGACGAGGAGTATAGACTATTTGCATAAGGGAAGTAGATGAAGATGCCACAGAAAAGACAGTATTTAAACTGGATCTTAGAAATTAAAGCCAAAAGTTCACTAGGTAGAGAACGGGCATTCTAGGTGAATGCACAGGCATGGAAGGGTGAGAGATCATAGGATCTCTCATGTGGCTATATGTAATAGGGGGAGTGGCAGGAGAGAAGGCTGAGGTGGTAAATTATGGCAGGTTATGAAGGGCCTTGGATGGTATGCCCTGAAAATCTGGTTTGGGATGCAAATTTCTATTGGCTCATAAATTCAAGTAACACATCAAGTAATTTTGTGATAAATTAATCTAGTGAAAGAAACATTTTTCATCTCCTTTCTTCATTTCCTTTTTACTCAATATATTTGCAATAGAGAAGCCAAATTACAACACCAGGCACTAGTGTAAATTGAATTGAGACTGAAAATGCACTTACGTTTGAGATTTTAGAAGTTCTTATGGGAGGAGAAGACTTTTAAGAGGTATTGAAATTGTCTAAAAGGGAAAATCATTACCTGATTTTGTCTTCATAAACTTTAACTGTTTTTTGCAAATTGCTTATTCAATTTGTTATTTCCTGCAACTTTAAATTTTCTTTGTTTTTTAGTGGACAGAAGACTGCAGAAAATCAACCTACCCTCCTTCTGGACCAACGTGAGTAAACTTCAGATGACCAAAACTCAGTTTAACCTTTGTGGAGATTTTTCCCTATGTAATGATCTCGTAAAAATAACGATAGTGAATGAAAACTTAAGTCATGTCCTCTGTCCTTAGAATGGCATAATTTTTTCCTTCACGTTTGTATATTATGCATTTCACTAAGACTCTGAACAAGTATGAAAATACCCCATGATTAAAAATGTCTGTTTCTAGCCTATCAAAATCATAGGAAAAAAAATAAGATTTCCATCTAAATTCTATCTACCACTAAGCATTTTACTCATCTTGACAAATGCAGAGTTGACATGTGATTTCTGGGGTGCCTGAGTATAAACTACCAGATTATATTAGAACGGAAAAGTGTAGGGTCTTATGTGTGAAACATTCAAGAAATAAACCCTGACATGATAATCAAAGGTATCAAAGGAAAAGCAGGACTAGAAAATATAAGGGAAGGGCCAGTAGTATGTTTTAGTGTATTTAACATTAATATTTTTAGGCTAGGCATATGTATGTGGCCTTTTCAAATCCTCTATGGCTACACGAGTCTGTGAGAAAGAATAAGAAGAGCCCACCAGCACAGAGGGTACCAGGATGTGGAAAAGAAAGAAAAGGTATAAGGAAGGGTAATCTTTTTTGCCCTGTTCTTCCCTCTCACTGAAAGTAGCCTGCTGGGGGTAGGAGAAAGCAGAGTACAACTTTAATCAATAATATCAAGATGATAATCTGTTTTTGCAGCACTTCAGTTATGTATTTTGTATTGCACTTGCCTAAAATATGTATCCTAAGTAGTCTCTATTCCGGATACAATCAAACTGTAATAAACGAAGTTCTTTTGATGTACTCACCTTTCTGAAGAAGGAGGCAAATATTTGGCAGGAAGTAATTTAGAAGTAATCAGTTTGTATGCTGTTCTGAAGCTAGTGCATATTCCAGCCCTCTCTCTAAAGTCTTGCTCTCTTGAGGTTTTCCTTTTGGCCACCACAGACGCCATATTAGTCTTCAGTGCTTTATTGATTGTGTGTGTTTCTTGGCTGGTCTCACTGCCCCAATTCATCATTTAATGAATACCTTCCATGCTTAAGGCTTTTTTTTACTCTCTTTTATGTGTACCTTATATATGTCTATGAATTGACTGCCCACCAAACCATCCCTGCTTTTAACTGGTTCCAAATTGCTAGTGTATGTGTGTGTGTGTGTGTGATGTTTGTGTGTTGTGTACATGTGTATATACATACATATACAAATAAACACATTTTTCTTATATTTATACATCTAACATAATGTAAATATTTTTGCCCCGGTATTTCTGCTGGATTCCTTCCTACCTCCCTAGCCTGTTCCGGACACAGAAATCCTCATCTCCACTTTGATCCTTCCCTTCTCTAAACTATAAATGGATCTTGAGATGTGGAAGAGAAGTGTCGTGTTCGTATACCTTTGAATGATAACCAGTCTTCTTCCTGTACCTTTCAGGACATCCTTTTTGATCAAGTGTGTAGTTTCTGGAGGTATGAGTGGGCAGTTGTGAGGGAGGAAAGAAACACCTGTTTATCCAGCCATACCAATCATTTGAATGCTAGATGTCAAGGGACTGACAGCCAGAGCACCCCTGAATCCATCTAAATCCAATTAGCCTTTCTTTTCTACTGCTCACTGGTGCTTAGCATCTGCTCTGTTATTTGTGTGGGTGTGTGTCATGCCCATTGGACTAGTTTCCAAACCACCCGGTGAGCCAGGTGGATTCAGTCAGTGCTTAATATTGATGAAGATGTTCTGGGCACAGTAGCTACTAAGTCTCAAAAATAATTTACTGTCTATTGTTTGTAGTAAAGTAGGAAAACATTCTATAGTAATTGAATACCAATGCTGCTAAGTATTCTTTGCATATTTCATGTAATCCTCATTGCTCTCATAGGGTAGATATATATTTCTCCAGGAAATTGAGGTACAGATGTTCAGTACTGAGATATTTTAGAAAAATGTTTAATGAGAAGTAAAATATGAGATTACGGCTAAGCTTTAGTTATTAAAATAATTTTGTTAAGCAGATTAACAGTTCTTTCACAGAATTATGATTAGTGGAGGTTTTACTGTAGAAAGTTTTCGAGAGTGTCCCCATCATCACTTAATTTCATCTTCTACTGTAACGATTTCATTTCCTCTCCATTTCTTCTTTGGAATCCTTGAGGTTCTAGACTGAAAAAGGAATCAGGAGTTTAGGGCAGATATAGGAGCATGGTTTTAGTTTTATTGGATGTTATCAGGGGAGGAGCAACTGGTTGAAGTTCACCGCTAGAACACATATCTTACGACAGTGCCACTGGTATGCATAGATCCAGGGGTCCTCTGATGTATCTTTTCTATTAGACATGGAAATAAAACGCACACTGGCGGAGAAGGGAGTAGGTTAGTAGCACCTGCCTGTAATAGGATGAAAATAATTATTTTATTGAATTGTAGGACAGAATTTTGCATGTGAAATTACGATCAGTCAGAAACGGAATTAATTTGTCTTTATACAAAGCTTTTTTGGAAGTAAATATAGTATTTAATATAGATATCAGCTACTAAGGAAATGGGATTTTGAAAATGCTTTGAGAAGAAAAAAATTCATTCATCGTGCTTTTTGTAATGTGTATTTCCAAAATCTAGTATGATTCCTTTTCTATCTGAGGGACAACACAAGCAGCTGCTGGTTAACAGCTTCATAAAACCTTATACATACACCCAGGTCCCAAGTAAGCAGCATTATTTAGAGACTCCAATAATTATTCATGACAAAAGAAGTATAAATAGGACCACAACTCTGACTTTTAGGAACTAACCCATCTCTGCTGTAGATATAAGTCTAGATAACATTTTAATTTAACAGCTTGGTAAGGTTGTTGCATGCACCAGTGTACACCTTATGCTTCTCTGGAGCAGAGCAATAATGGAGCAAATGCTGACTATTTTTAGGCATAGTCTTAAGCTGATAAATCACCGAATTGCACATCCTTACAGACTATTTCAGTTTAGTAACAAGTGCCAGAAGGTAATGTTTCCGGAGTGACAGAGAATAGTTGTAGAGGTCACCTACCAGAAATATGGCCCAGGTCCATTGATAAGGGAAGGATGTGGATGTTGCTGTCTCCTCATAGCAAACATTGCTGCATGTAAATTGAGTAATAGGAAGTCGGGAAGTGGATATGATCAAACAGTGCTTGAGCTTGGACTTACTGCAGAAGAATGAAAAGAGAAAATATAGTAGGAACAGTAAGATGGCTGAGTGAATAGTGAAGATTCTTGAAGCCAGTCATGAGAAGCTAATGCATGTTGCTTCTCTTGGGTCTTAAAAGGTGACCTTTCTGACGCCAACACTAGAGAAAATGATTTGGCAATAGTGTTATATTATCTAAGAGGGAATTCTGACTGGGGAACCAATCAGAGAAGTGTCCAAGCTTAGACTAAAACTTTGCAGAAATTAGAAGGAAAAAAAAGGCAGGTATTTCCTAGCAGTGATATTCAGGTTACATATAACTCGAGTCAAAATTGATTATCATGTCACCAATTTACATTAACCTTCTCGAATGTATAATTCAATTCTAAGATTTATGAAACTACTTATGACTATCTATACAACATTGGGCAGAAATGCTAAAAAATGAGCTTTTGCAAATTTTGGTTTGAGTACCAACTTCTATATTGTTATGAAGAGTAGTATATCTCTAACATATCCATATAGATGTAACTAACCCCCATCAAAAAACTGCTTTTAACATTTTAAGATGGTACATCTCTCATTACAGCTATAGGGGTCCAGTGCCATGGTACACCATAAATCTTGATTTGCCACCCTATAAGAGATGGCAAGAATTGATCACTGACAAGGCTCCATCGGTATGCTATGATTATTAAGTTTTCTGTTTCTGACTTTACTAAATATAATTGCATTTATAAATGAACACTTCATGAAATTACATACAAAATATTTTAAGAAAGCGCTTTTGATTCCTCTCTGCTACTTACAATAAATGATAGTAGAAGAAAAAATGTTTTTGTAGCTTCTTCCTTTTTTCATTGTATCATGTATCTCCATCTAACTAGTTAATCATGTTAAACATGTATTATGTTTATACATTTATTGAAAATATTTTCAAATAGTACTCTATTTTATTTAGCTACATATGGGTAAATCAAAAGGTCTGTAAATGCTTTCATTATACCAATATTAATCTTAAATGTCAATACTTTATATCTCTTAATTTTTCAGCTAAAGGTTATCGTGAATTCCCTGAAGGATGTAGTAAATGCATTTGTCCCAAGTGGAAAAATTATGCAGATAGTGGATCAAAAGTTGGTAAGAAATGTTGTTTTCCACAATAAAATTTAAACACACACATATACACAGTTCAGAAAAGGCTTAAAATTTTGGAGCTTGGTAATATTAGAGTAACAGGACATAAAATTGTATGGCAAATATTGGCAGTTAACTGATCTTTAATGTTTTCTAAAAGTATAGACAATTTTATAGAGCTTTAGGCAAAACATACATATTTCATCTGAGAGTATGGCATTTCCTTCCCCTTATATATACTCGGGTTTGCAAGTTCACTATTGAAAATTCAGTTTTTTTCTTAAATGCTTTGCATGAGTATCTCAGGGCACCTAGAGGTTTTTCCTAGCCAGCCCTGTATTTCATGGAGTCCGTCAGTAGCTGTGACCGTTGAAACTCACATGGGTTGCATGTGTCTTGTAGTTACACCTCATCAAACCATTTCGTTTCCCTCCTGCTCATGCAGGAAGACTCCATTTCTCAGCCCCTTTTTTTGTTTTGGTGGAACCCATGGAAAATCTAGGGCCTGGCCCCTAGGGCCTCCTGAGAGATCCTCATCACCCTCTTTCAGTCTTTGCTCTGGGGCCCTCACTGGCCTGCAGAGTGCAAAGGATTGGGGAGGACACTGAGGCCCTATGGCAGATGTGTTAACCTCAGCACTAATGACATTTGGGATTAGATGATACTTTGCTGTGGAGGGCTGTCTGTGCATTGAAGGATGTTTGGCAGCATCCCTGACCTCTACCTACTGGATGCCAGTAGCACCCCTTCAGTTGTGACAACCAAAAATGTCTCTAGATATCACCACGTCTACTGTGGTTGTGGGGGGTGCAAAGCTACGCCTGGTTGAGAATCATTCTAGAGACTGGATACTCTAAGCAAATCATTCCTATGACACTTGCACCTGCTAACCACCAGGCTTGCTATCCCTTACATTTATGCTCTTTGAGCCTTTCGTTAAGGCTCTCCTTTGTGCTCATACTAACCAGACTTCCCCAAAATACATATGTTAGCAGGAGCAGCAGCAGAAGAGACCAGGGAAGGCAGCATGCAAAGGGTGCCCAAGTTTTATAATCAGACAACATTGGGGGTTGGGTTTTGTTTGTTCTTGAAACACTGGATTTTAAAGTTGGATCAATCACATACTAGCTGTGAGTCCTTTGACAAGTTTCTTAACTTACAAAACTTCTCTCTCATCAAGAATTTACTAAGATGTATTTTATATGGTGGTTGTAAGGATTAAATGACACTGTATGTAAAGCACAGTGCCTGGATATAATAAATGGTTAATAAATGTTTAATAAGTCATTTTTGTTTGTTAACTTGTGGTGCTTTGAATTCCTAGGTAAACACAATATGCTTAGTTAGGTCACATTACATATAAATAGCAAGCTGGTGAAAAATGAGACTTGAAAATTTTAAACACATTATCTTAGCAAGAGGCTGTTAGTTTAAATCTTGATCTCATTGTTAGCAAATGGTTGCACTTGATGATAAAAGTATGATGTCCACCATTGAATTTGCATATGTGCCCATTGTTTGCTAATGGGATGCAGTAATACATCTTAGCCCAAGATCATCTATTAACCTTGACAAAAGTTTTCACGAATGACTAAAATACAGATTTTTGCTATGTGTAGGAAGGAAATAATAAAGAGGGTGTAATGCCAGTGGCATAAGGGTGAATTTGAGTTGAGAACTAAGGAGTGCTTATGGTAATGTTCCTGTGTTGTGGTCTTATTGGGTTATCCACATGGAATTATTCCAGTTTCCTGCCTCTCCGGATATGAACAATCTGAGAATCATATTAGAACAAATGAGCTGAAGAGTACAAAACAAGAGTTCTAGTATTAATCAATTTTTTAGAAATACGCGATATAAAAGTATCTTTAAAAATAACAGATCACCTATTGTGGCAGCAGTATATAGAACAAATTATATGTAAAAGAACCAAATCTCAAAACAGGGCTTCAGGGCTTTAGGTCAAATGATTGTTAATTTATTTGGTGAATGATCGTTAATTTATTTGGTTTTCAGCCTGGTCTACTTGGCAACTTTCCTGGCCCTTATGAGGAGGAAATGAAGGGGGTTGCAGATATTACTGGCATACCTTTAGGTAAAGTTCATTTTTCAGCTTTTAAAAAATTTAATAAAGCACTTAAAATTTTTCTGTTGCGGTATGGTATACATACAGTAAAGTGCACAGATCTTAAGTACAGCTCAGTAGAGTTTTAAAAATGTATACATGCATATAATAGCAACTCAAATCACGATAAAGAAAATTCCAGCCATCCAGAATGCTCCATCGCCCCATCATGCCCCTTCACTGATAATATCAAGTTCTCAGGTGACAGCTGTTCTGACTTCACCATAGATTAGTTTTGCCTCTTGAACTATTTATAAATAGAACTGAACAATATGAACTGTTGTGTCTGATTTCTTGTACTTATCATTATAGGTAGTATGCTATTGTATGAATAGGATATTTGAGTTGTTTCCAGATTTTGGATATTAAGAATAAAGCAGTTATGAACATTCTTGTACATGTCTTTTGATGAGCATATGCACTTGTTACTCTTGGGTATTATATACCTGGGGTATAGGGTAGCCGTATGTTTGTTCAGCCTTATAAATTCTTCCATCCAAAGTGATTGTATCCATTGACAGTCAGAAAAGTATAAGAGTTTTAGTTTTCTTCACTTGATACTTCTCCACTTGATAGGCAGCCTTTTTATTTGAGCCATCTTGTTGAGTGTGTTATGGTATCCCATTATTGTTTCATTTACATTTCCCTAATGACTAATGAGACTGAACAGATTGACCTTTTCCTTCCTTCCTTGTGCTTGTGAAAGTCTTATGGCCATTTTTTATTGGTCAGGAAGAATTCTTTATATATTCCGAAGTAAACCCCTTTGTCAGATATACGTATTCCAGATATCTTCTCCCAGTCTGTAGCTTTCTTTTTTATTATCTTATTGGTGCCTTCTGATGAATAGAAATTGTTAATTTTAATGAAGTCCAATTTCTCATTTTTTTAACAGGGAATGTTTTTTGTGTCCATTTAAGAAAGCTTTGCATACTTCAAGGTCATGAAAATGTTCTGTCTCCTAGATGTTTTATGTTTACTTTTTATGTGTAGGCCTATGATCTACTTTAAATTAACTTTTGTGTATGGTATGAGTTAGGGGTCAAGTTGCAGTTTTTTTCCATATGGAATATCCAACTGACTAAACATCATTTATTAGAAAGACTATATACTTCCCTTAGTAAATTGCAGTGGTGCCCTTGATTTAAATCAGATGATTCTATATATCTGATTCTTTTGGGGTACTTTCTGTTAAGTTTCATTTATCTATTTGTCTTTCCTTATACCAATACTATGCTCCTGCAATCACTAAAGCTTTATAGTAAGTCTTAAAGTTATGTAGTATAAGTTTTCTAACTTTTTCTTCAAAATTCTCTTAGCTATTCTAGACCATTTGTATTTCTATATAAATTTTAGAATCAGCCTATCAACTTTGACAAAAGAGCCTACTGATATTTTGAATGGGATTGCAATACTGAGTTTTCTAATCCATGAACATGGTATACGAAATTTCAACATTTATTTCGGTTATTGATTTCTGAGTTGTATTTTTTATTTTTAAGGAGGAGTTCTTGCGTATCATTCATTCATCATATCCTTCATCATATCATTCTTAGGTATTGATGTTTTTGGAAACTATTTTTTAAACTCTATTTCCAATTTGTAACATATAATGAAACAGATTTTTCCTGCTATCCCAAAAGCTTTATTTTTAAGCTACCGAATAATAGAATTATTTTAAATAGCCTGTAGACCTTGGTTTTACAAGAGAAGTGGACTGAGAATTTCAGAAAATTAATAGTATTTTTCAACCAAAGTGGCTAGATTTTTGTTTTTTTTTCCTTCTTTAAAAAAATGACTTAAAAGATAACCAAAACATACAGGAAATATATACTTGTAGCCTATATGAGAAATGTCTCTAATTCCTTTATTATGTAAAGAACTCTAGCAAATAAATACCACATATAAATATCTCAAGAGAAAAATGGATTAAGAAGATTAACAGATGATTCATAATAAAAGAAAATGAGTGGAATTTCACCAAAATAGAAATCAAATGGAAATAAAACATTAGAGTGAAAAAAGCAAAACATGTTAAGCCTGACACATTAACATAAAATGAGACAGAAAAAAATGTATATCATTGAATTAAATGCTAAGTGGTACTATTATTATGTAGTTTTAGAAGAACACTCAAAAATTAAAATATTTTACAGTGGATTTTCTTAGTAAGCTCTGCACTAATTTTATTAATACTTCCTATATTTCTTAACTTCAAATATTAGTCAAACTCTAAAAATATGGGAAAAATACATTTTCAGGATACAACCAAGAACCAGATATATTAAATTGTCATATTTGAGCCCCTAAAGAAAACTGAAATGAAGTATATTGATGAAAAAATGTGGACATTGTATTGTAGTAGAATTCCAACATGCCCAGATGTTCACCTTGCCCAGTAGCTCCCCCTTCTGGTTCTTGTTTTATCTTTAGTCTACAGAGTGTATACAGGTTGGTATGACACCATCACCTGGCCAGCTAGCTATTCAGGCACATTCAGACTGGTCTGCAGACACTTACGTATGCCAAAGTGAAAACTCACACAGTGATGATGGTTCAAATTTTTCTTAAAAAAGAATTTTCTAACAATGACTTGGTTCCGTATATTAACCAAAAATTTTCCTGTCTTCTCATAGGAGAGATTATTTCGTTTAATATTTTCTATGAATTTTTTACCATCTGTACTTCAATAATAGCAGAAGACAAAAAAGGTAAATGGGTACTGAGGGAGGGTGGGCACTGTGGATTACAGAGTAAAAGAAAAATCTTCTAAATGAATGCAATTAGAACTTGTAAAATCCAGGCTTACTAGCAAATTCTGTGGTATGTTGCATATAGTTTTATGGATCTTAGTACATTTTTAAAAGTGTATTGGAAACTATCCCTATTTTAAGACTACCATAATGCCTATTAACGTTTAATTCAAGGATATCAAAGAACTTGGAAGAAATGTTTCAGGACTATGAACATTCATACCATTTCTCATATTCTATTTATACTCATCTCCATGATTTGATATAAGTACTTACAGCAGTGCTTCATTATCTTCATATACATAATGATCCCAGACTCTCCTTGAAGCTCAGGACAGATCTTCTCCCATGATTTCCCAGCCAAGGAACCCTTTGTAGACCAGCCTCACTTTCTCATCTTTTTCCTGGAGGATCCCCAGATTACAAGGCACAGGATGATTTACCTTCTCTCTTATTTTTGACCTATACCATGGGTATAAAGTCTGCCTGTACTTAACCCTTGAGGCGTCCAGCTGTAGGTGGCAGTGCCTCAAGGGAAGCTTGTTGGCACGTCATGTTAGATGAGGCTAAAATAGCTATGCCTGGATAAGACTGTGTCATAGTGGACCAAAGAATGATTACTGATCCTTTTCCCTTGTTCTAATCTTACCTGGAACTTTGTGCTCTCAGGGTTTATGGGGGGATCTGGCTGATGTGATAGGGATGGCAGTTTGATCTTGAGACCTTCTGGTATCAGGATGCTGCTTAATTCTTATTGTTGGATTGAACAGTTGTTAATGTCAGTTAACCAAAATTAAGTGTCCAACTTTGATTTAAGATTAATGATGCTATCATAACTGCTACTACAGGTCTCTTTTGCTTACTTTCAATTAGGTCATCTAATACATGGGCGAAACATGGATTTTGGAATATTTCTTGGGTAAGTTAAGAAAATGGTGTGTTTCAGTCCTTAAGAAAAATAGTTGTATTGCATTGATGAAAAGTAAGTCACAAGTATTGCTCAAAGTGTGACCAGAAGGGAAGAGACTGGATTCCTTAGTTTTGAGACAAGATGGGCACACTTTTAGTTATTTGAGAGTTTGTAGAGTTACACCTAGTGAACAGGAATCTGGAGCATGCTTGAAGGCCCCAAAACTAGGCACGTCTAGTTTATTGTTTAAAAGAAAGGATAGCATCCTATTTTATATCTTCTTGACGCTTCTGAAAAAAATTGTAATGGTGTTTAAAATTAGAGACCTAAATTTGAATCTGGAGTTTGCTATTTATAGACTGTTATATTGGGAGAAATACTTATCTTCTCTGAGCCTTAGTTCTGTCATATGAAAAAGTGAGGGTAAAACCACCAATTTTGCAAAGTTTTTGTTAGGGAGAATTAGGGTACTAATTCGGGAGTAGGGTACTCATTAGGGATTAGGTAGATAAAGTACCTAGCATAATGCATGGCCATTATCATCATATTCATCATTATCATCATTGTTCTTAAATGTCACTGAAATTTGTCTTTCGTAGGTGGAATATAAATAATAATTCCTGGGTTGTAACTGAGGAACTAAAACCTTTAACAGTGAATTTGGACTTCCAAAGAAACAATAAAACTGTCTTCAAGGCTTCAAGCTTTGCTGGCTATGTGGGCGCGTTAACAGGATTCAAACCAGTAAGGAATCTACTGTTACATAATTTTACAGGTAGCTCTGTCCTGTTTTTACTGTGAAGGGTGGAATCTAAAGATTGAGGACCAAAGAATATGAAGCCCCAGTTCATCCCTTTGTACTTTTCGTCACCTTCATAGCTATGAGCTCTCATAGTAGAGAGGAGTAGAAAGGAAATAAAGGTTTCTCAGCTCATTCTGGGGAAAAGCATGTGACTGGATGTTGAGGGCTGGGAATATACATCTGAATCTGGTCCCGGGTCAGGCAAGTCAGGCACTAATTCTCTGCACTTCAGTTTCCTTGTCAGAAAGTGTGGCCAGTAACATCCCACCTATTTATCCCATACACTAGATGTAAAAATGCTTTGAACTTGTAAAAAAGCCCTGTTAGTAGGTGATAGTGTCATGGTTTTGATTTATCATCGTATGCCCCATTCCCAAATCTGGGCTTTGATATTCCGTATAAAATACAGTGAGAGGGCCTTAAACAGAGTGGTCTACATTTCTGACTTCACTGCTTTGTCTTTTTCTCAGGGACTATTTAGTCTTACACTAAATGAACGTTTCAGTACCAATGGTGGTTATATGGGTGAGTAGAGGATTCTTAAATAAAATAGGAATTTCATAGATATTTTAAGAGGAAAGCTAGACTCTGCCTTCTGGTTAATAGTCTCACCTTTTCCAGGTCCTGTGACACTGTGCTTGATCTCTTCCAGGTGTCCTAGAATGGATTTTGGGAAAGAAAGATGCCATGTGGATAGGGTTTATCACTAGATCAGTTTTGGAAAATAGCACAAGGTAACTGGGTTGCTTTATCAAATTTAATATTTTAAATTATTGATATAATTGATATATAACATTAGTTTAAGGTGTACAAAAATGTTTTGATATTTGTATATATTGCAATACAATACAGTATTATTAACCGTAGTCACTATGCTATACATTACGTCCCCAGGACTTACTTATTTTAGAACTGAACATTTATCTTTTGACCTCCTTTACCCATTTTCACCTTCCTACATCCCCCTGCCTCTGGCAACCACCATTCTGTTCTCTATGAGTTTTTTCTTTGTTTGTTTTTTTTTTTCCTATGAAAGTGAGATCATATGGTATTTGTCTTTCTCTGATTTATTTCACTTTGCATAACGCCCTCAAGGTCCATCCACATTGTTGGAAATAGCAAAATTTCCTTCTTTGTTATGACAATATATTCCATTGTGTACACACACACCACATTTTCTTTATCCATTCATCCACCGATGGACACTGAAGTTGTTTCCATGTTTTGGCTATTGTAAATAATGATACAGTGAACATAGGGTGCATATATCATTGTGAGGTAGTGTTTTCATTTTCAGAATCTAAATGCCCAGAAGTGGAATTGCTGGATCATATGGTAGATCTATTTTTAGTTTTTCAAGGAACCACGATACTGTTTTCCATAGTGACTGCACCAATATATATTCCTACTCACAGTGCACAAGGGTTTCCTTTTCTCCCCAGTCTTACTATCACTTGTTATCTTTTGTCTTTTTGATAATAGCCATTCTAACAAGTGTAAGGTGGTATCTCGTAATTTTGATTTGTGTTTCCTTGATTAGTGAGGTTAAGCACCTTTTCATGTACTTGTTAACCATCTGTATGTCTTCTTTTGAAAAATGTTAGAACTACTGCCCATATTTTTAAATGGATTTTTTTGCTGTTGAATTGTATGAGTTCTTTATATATTTTGCATAGTATCCCCTTGTCAGATATACAATTTGCAAATGTATTCTCCCATTTAGTAGGTTTTCTTTTTATTTTGTTGGTAGTTTTCTTTCCCATGCAGAAACTTTTTATTTTGATGTCGTTTATTTTCGTTTTTGTTGCCTTTTGGTGTCAAATCCAAAAAATTATAGCCAAGACCAATGGCTAGGGGCTTACCACCTATGTTTTCTTCTAGGCATTTTATGGTTTCAGATCTTATGTTCAGGTCTTTAATCCATTTTGAGTTGATTTTTGTGTCTGGTGTAAGATACTGGTCCACTTTCATCCTTTTGCATGTGGCTCTCCAGTTTCCCAACGTTTATTGACGAGACTGTCCTTTCCTTATTGTGTATTGTTGGCTCCTTTGTCATAAATTAATTGACGATATTTGCATGGGTTTATTTCTGGGCTCTCTATTCCGTTCCACTGATTTATGTGTCTGTTTTTATGCCGGTACTATACTGTTTTGATTACTATGGCTTTGTAGTATAGTTTGAAATTAGGAGGCGTGATGCTTCCAGGTTTGTTCTTCTTTCTCAAGATTGCATTTGCTATTCAGGGTTCTGTTTCTGTTTGTTTGTTTGTTTTCATTCCATATAAATTTTAGGATTGTTTTATTTTACTTCTGTGAAAAATGCCATTAGAATTTTGACAGGTATCGCATCGAATCTGTAGATTGCTTTGGGTAGTATGAACATTTTAACAATATTAATTTCCCAATCAATGAGCATGTCTCTCCATTTATTTGAGTCTTCCATTTCTTTCATCAGTGCCTTACAGTTTTCAGTGTACAGGTCTTTCTCTTCCTGGGTTAAATTTATTCCTTGGTGTTTTATTCTTTATGTTGCAATTGTAAATGGGATTGTTTTCTTAATTTCTCTTTCTGATAGTTCATTATTAGTGCATAGCAACTGATTTTCGTATATTGATTTTGTATCCTGCAACTTTACTGAATTTGTTTACTCTGACAGTTTTGTGGTAAAATCTTTAGGGTTTTCTATATATAATATCATGTCATCTGCAAATAGCAACAGTTTTACTTCTTACTTTCTGATTTGGATACCTTTTATTTCTTTTTCTTGCCTAATTGCTCTGGCTGGTACTGCCAGTACTATACTGAGTAAAAAAGAGAGTGAGCATCTTTGTCTTGTTCCTAATCTTAGAGGAAAAGCATTCAGCTTTTCATCTTTGAGTATATTAGGTGTGGGCTTGTCATATATGGCCTTTATTATGTTGAGGTACATTACCTCTATACCCACTTAAGAGAGTTTTATTATAAATGGATGTTGAATTTTGTCAGTGCTTTTTCTGCATCTATCGAGATTATCATACAATTTTTATCCTTCATTTTGTTAATGTGGTGTATCACATTGATTGATTTGTAGTTGTTGAACCATCCCTGCATCCTTGGAATAAACCCCACTTGATCATGGTGTATGTTCTTTTCAGTGTGTTATAGTTTATTTTAAATTATTCATATTAAAATATAAAAATATTTTCTTGCACGTCTTCCATTGAAGAACTATTTCAGAATTTCTTAGGTGAACCTCATGGAATTCTAACATTTGTGTGTGTGTGTCTGTGTCTGTGTTTAAAGCAAGGAAATAAATTGATGTTTAAAAAGTGCTAGAGATACTGCCACTATGAAGGGCACCTGTGAGTTTTTCTTGATGTCAAAAAAAATCACCCATACACAAAATAAAAATTAAACAATAAAATTTACCTGCACAGTGTAAATATATATATGCTTTACTGTTAAAGTGTACAGATGAAACTATTGGAAATCATTAACCAATGTCACCATAAAAAATTAATTAAAGAGAAAAAAAAGAAAACAAGTAATAGAAAATTTAAAAATCAATCAGTTGATCAATCCTAATACCTTTTAACCTAGAAGTTATATTTTGTGCTGGCGCAGAAATCTTATAATAGCAAAACTGCCTTTATCTGCACTATATCAAAATGACCTAGGATAAATGAGCATCAACCCTATTTTTCAATACTTTCCAGGTTTACTGTCCCTTACCTCCTATATGTGGTGATTAATACTGTCTCCCTTGTTCTCCTTTTGGGTGAAAGGCATAGACAGTAAGGGAAGAAGGTGATCTCTTGAGACTGTTCTGTTTGTCCTTCAGACCAGAGGGAGCATCTCACATCTCAGTGTTTTACCGCATACGAGTCAGGAATTGCTCCTTCCTGATCCACTGTTTATCACTTCTTTTTAAAAAACATGTCCCTCAGATATTTGTTTTTGCTTGGTTTCTACAGGCAAAATATTTGTATTCCAAGTCAACTAAAAATGTTTCCTTTTTAAAAAATGTTTCTGTGTAGTTATGAAGAAGCCAAGAATATATTGACCAAAACGAAGATATTGGCTCCAGCATACTTTATCCTGGGAGGCAACAAGTCTGGGGAGGGCTGTGTGATTACACGAGGCAGAAAAAAATCTTTGGATGTATATGAGTAAGTACATTTGTTAAACAAAATAAGTAGAAACTAAAGCATAGACTGACACATTTACAGGTTTAGGGCATGAAGCCTGAGAGGAGTCTCTCTTTTTGTATCTAGACTTGACTCCAAGGAGGGTAGATGGTATGTGGTGGAAACTAATTATGACCGTTGGAAAAATCCCTTCTTCCTTGATGATCGCAGAACAGCTGCAAAGATGTGTTTAAACCAGACAACCCAAGAGGTAAAATTCACAATGCCATATATAGAAAGAAATGGTGACCATTAAAGATTAGTTCTGGCATCTTCCTTTGGCCTTTATAAACCTCCTATTATTCGGTATCTCTGGACAATCCCCACTGAGTTTTTGTTCTTTTTAATTTAAAGAACAGAATTTTGCTGTACTTCCCTTTCTAATCTAATGCTGGATAACACTCAGTGAAGTTGAATGAGAAACAGGCAAGACTTAAAGAGGGGAGGAAGAAGAGAGAAAAAGTGATTCATTTGAACCATTACTTCTGTTTCTAACAGTGACCCCAAGGGAAATTCATTTAGGGGGTTGGAGGGAGGTTGGTTGAAGAATGTACTGGTTTCTAATGACCCATTTGTGTGGATAAGGCTACTGACATCTGTCTTTAACCTACTGAACAAAACTATTTTTGTGTTTTAGAATATCTCATTACCAACCATATATGATATCCTGTCCACCAAACCTGTCCTCAACAAGGTATTTTAAAAATATATACACGTGTGTGTGTGTGTGTGTGTGTGTGTGTTCGTGTGCGTGCGGCTGTCTTTTTTGCTAAACATCTTGTTTGTTATTGGCATATGTACTTCCCTGATAGGCTGAGTAGGATATTTGAGGAATTTTAAAAGGTGTTGATAAGTTACAAGTCACATTCAGCTTAAGACTTATTTATTTAAATGTTTTTGTGTGGCTAAAATAGTAACTGTTGGGATGTGACAAACTGATCACTGTGGCTTGATGTCCAGTTTGGTCAGCTTAGTGTTTCTAGTTTTACTTACATGGCCTTGAATTGAGAGTAGTATTTTAGTTTTGACTTCTATCAGAAATCTTATTCTGTACACTACAACTAACATCTAAAACTTGACAAAACAAAGTCTGAAGTCCATTTTAAGTCAGAGCTTTGTGTCTTGGTGGATTAGGGTTTCTCTTAAACTTCATTACATCCTTTTATCTTTTCCCCACGCTATAGCTAAAGAATTCAACAAGTTTCCTAATCATTCAATTTGCTCGTAGTCCCCCCTTGTGTATTCTGGGTATATTCACCCTGATTTTCCCATTTGTTCCTTCTATTCTTTGGTTCTTTTTCCTAACCTTCCCTAAAATCAGCGTGCCTCCATTACTTCTGCCAGAACAAACTCCTTCTGCACATTACTGTTTGGATCAGAACCTGGCTCCTGCAAGAAGCCTTCCTTAAGCCCACTGACCCTGCCATACTTCTCGTTTGCCCGCACCATCTTCGTGGGAGCTCACAGTGGTTATTTACGTTCTGTGGGCTTCCATGAGTGTGGGAGCCTTGCAACCTGTGTGCCTGCCTAGTGTCCCTCACTGTACATGCTTTATAGATAAGGATAGCCAAAGCTAAACTGTTCATACTCCACAGTATACTGTTAGGCTTTGCATGACTGCAGATTATACATTGAAGAGGGCTAAGTCTTAAAGCATTGGAGAAGCAGTGTACTGCTCAGGAATAAAACCTTGTAAAGAACTGAAGATTCTCTCCCAAGCCTATTTATATTCATGACCTAGAATGTCAGTTGTTTTTATTATCACTGACTTATTATTTGTATCTTTATGTTATATATTTATTTTTACATCTTCTGCATAATACTATATGTTATTTAATATTAAGTATCTTCATAAAGCAGTTCCACAAGTAAAGAAATGCTAATATTGAAAACATTCTTAAAGTAAAAATAACTTTTCTTTCAGCTGACTGTATTCACAACTATGATGGACGTTACCAAAGGTCAATTTGAAACTTACCTGCGGGATTGCCCAGACCCTTGTATAGGTTGGTGAACACACACCTGGCCTACAGAATGCGCTCTCTGACATGAAGCAGGCCGCTCACGTGTGGCCAACCAGGGCAGCCATCTGATCTCTGTCCAAAGACTAAGACCCAGGCAGGGCAGGTTCTCTTTAAGGCATGAGCTTGTTCTTCTTGGTATGTTTACAATTCTTAGGCTATTTTTTGCCATAACAGTTGATTTTATTTATCGATAATTTACATGAAGTACAGCAATCATTTAGAATTTGCCGAGTTTCATTTCACTTTTGACATTTGGGGGTGGGGATGGGCAATTAAACTATTGTGGGACCCACTTCCATGGAATGAATAAAGCAAGATTCTCTGTGGGCACTGAATCCAGTATGTCCACGTAATAGTAACAGTAAATAGTCCACATTATTTTCACTTTTATCTACATATTTGTATTTTTTTCTGTATAGCGGTCTTTTTCTCTTGGTCTGCTACTAAAATCAATATACTACTGTCTTTGCTGTTTTTGACAGCAGTGTAATTTCACTAACTGATTAGAGGGAGATGAGACAGACATTCAACTGTGTATTTCCCTTAATGCTCAATGCCCGCACCTTTGACTCTGATTAGTACTTTTTGGGGTTCGTGAAGTAATCAGTATGCAAAGCAGTCTTTTATACACAGAATTGAAGTGTTTCCTTTTTCGTAATTACCCTACCTCCCAGCAACCCCAGGAAGTTAACGTCAAAAACTGAGTCCCAGGTTCTGTGAATGAATAGTAAACAGGTCAAAGAATTGTAGAAAATTGGAAGTGTACCCGTGATTTTAAAATCTCCTAAGTATCATTTATTTAATAAATAGGTTTTGAGTTTTCCTTCTGATCAAAATGTATTTTTTAAAAATGTTTTTCAGAAGTGTATTTATGAAAAGGGCTAATCAATCAAACTTGTTAACCTTTCACATGTTCACAGTCAACTGAAATGCATGTCAATTGTGTACAACTGTATCCACTTCATTTAATGTCATTTGTATTCATGACATTCAATAAAGTCATTGGAAGCAGAGTCAGCAGTCTTGTATACTGATTGTCTACCTGAGTGTTAGTTTGAGGGTGGGGGTTATTATGGAGAAATCAAAGCTATTTGAATGTAATATCTAAATTAAATTACAAGAGTTATATGTAAGAGGGTTATTCAACTTATGACTAAATGGTCACAATGTTACATGACTAATCCTTAGCACCTCTTAACCCACTGTTATCAGTGCAGTGTGCAGGTGTTCAAAGGCAGCTTTTCCTCCCGTTTATTTATTTTTTCTTTTTTCGCTTCTTCATAACTATAGTGATACCAGTATTATCTTATGCAAGAATTACAAGAGAGTTTGTGTTAAAATAGGATTTGATTAATTTAAAAAACTTCACTGTGGATTTTGTCCCTTTTATAAAAACGAAGTGAGGTAAACCTGTATTATTTTTCTAAAGTAGCCTTTGCTATGCATAGTAAAGAGGTGAGATGCTAATTTGTTTCAGACTGATTCCTCAGGACATCAAAGCATTTGGAGGAAAGAACTGGAATTAAAACGTGAGGTAGGACTGTTAGTGATAAAAAGCAGGTTATAATATAGGATATACTGTAAGCCTAATTATATAATACTTTATACATGTACTTATGCATATACATCTAGGATACAGAAAGATATTGAGGAGGATGTTTACTAACAATTCCCCTTGGATAGTGATATTAATTGCTATTTTAATTTGGAGTGGACATTAATGAGACTATATTTTTAGAAATACTGCATAAAATGTCAGGTTGGATCCAAACCATGGGCTATATAATTTTCCTCACCTAGTTTTAAGGACTCTGAGTCAACCTACATTCCTTCACACATGTAGCTCTAATAATAGCTAACTACCAAAGAACTTACTATATATCAGGACTTACGATGCATGCTTCACATATATCCTCTTATTTCATCTTCTCAACAAACTGTAGTTATACTTGTAATCCAACTTTCTCAAAGTCGAACTGACAGATGGTGTTTGCACCAGGTCTGCTTTTTGGGGTGGGTGGGGATTAGTATTCCCTAGTGTGTCTTTTTCCATCCTTTTAGTTTTTACCTTACAGTATTTTTACATGGTAGATGTGTCTTAAAAGTGCACCTAGCAGTATTTTAAAAATATAAAATCCAACAACCTATGCTTTTCTGCTAGAGCACTTAGTCTATTTTACGTTTACCATAATTATTGATTTGTTGGCATCTATTTCTTCAATCTTAGATCTGTTTCTACTACCTTCTAATTTGCCTTTTTGGAATTATCATTTTTTTAGACATTTTTTAAATTTTTTTTCCTCCAAGAGTTTAGAAAACACACTATTTCTGTATAGCGGTTATCCTATAAACTGCACCAAGACTATTTACCTTATCAAAGCTTAAAATTAATACCTGGATATTATTCCATTCGAATACAAAAGGACTTAAAATACTTTAATTCAATTTACTTATCTCCTAACTTATATTCTATTTGTATTTTGTTTTATCTGAACCCAAAAAGACATGAGTATTGTTTCACATGGTGACTACTGTTTGGACATAAACACATATTTACTATATTCCTACTCACCACTTTCCTTTCCACCTGGGATAATTTTCCTTCTGATAAATGAAAATTTTATTTAGCTATAGTGCCTATTGACAAAAACAACTTTCAGACTCTGGAAACGTCTTTACTTTGAAGGAAATTTTTGCTGACACATGGTTCTAGATTAAACTTATTCTCACTGATATCATTGCTGAGAAGCTGTCAGTCTAATTATTATTCATTTGAAGCCATTATCTTTTCATTCTGCTTTTAGGGTCTTTGTTTTTTCTTTGTAGTTCTGAGGTTTCTGGATATTAATTTTTTAATATTTTTCTTATTTAGAATATTGGATTTGTTGATCTGTGGATGGTTTATTTTTCATTATTCTGGATATTCTCAGCCATTCTCTCTTCAAATGTTTCTCTTTTCCTTCTGAAACTCCAATTAGATGCTTGTCAAACCTCCTCGTTCCATTTTCTAAGTCATTCATCTATCTTCATACTTTCCATATCTGTATCTTTAATTCTCTATTTCTTTAAGTCTGTCTTCCAGTTAAGTAACTCTGATTTTGCTGTGGCAAATCTGCTGTTTAAGCCTTTCACAGTTTCTAATTTCAATTTTGTTTTTTTATATATTGAATATTTGGCTGTTTTACAAATCTAGGTTTTTAAAAAGATTATTGGTCTTTATTCATATTTTAAATCTTTTTCTTTTACCTTATTAAAAATATATTCTGGGCTTGAAAATTGAGATGTCTGAAACCTTTGCAGGTCTGATTCTACTGTTTCTGCTAGTTCACGTTTGTGATGCCTGTTTCCTTGTATGTTTGTTTTTTATTTGTGACAGCAAGCATATTCCTATGTAAACTTATCTATGGAAATCCTTTGAAGGCTGGGTTGAAAGTGGGTTCCTCCAAAGAGGATTTGATTTACTTCTGCCAGGGCTTGAGAGCACTACCAATGTAAATTGAATTCTTGCTGAGGGTTTTATAGATCCTAGATAGTGTATTCAGGACCAGGTTGTGGTTCTGACTTCTCAAGGAAGATCCTCACACCAACAAAAGATCGAGATAGGCAGTTTTACTTGCAGTATTCCAGTTGCATGTTACTTTTCCCTGTTACTCTTATATTGAGAATATAACTCTTGGTGAGATTGATTTTACTCAGGAAATGGTGCTGGAAGTTTTTTTTTTACACTTTGATTACTGGGCTGTATGTCCTGACTGCTAAACCCCTTGTGGCCATGAAAACTGAAGAAAAATTTCACTAGGTTTGGTGAGTGACATTAAGTTAAAAAGCCAATTTCAGGGCTTCCCTTATTTTTCTTATCCCTTAGTTTTTGCTTCTGAGTGTTCCTTAATTTCTGATCAGATCTCTGCATTAAAAGAAATGTTTCTATGTAGTCTAATGTAAGTGTAATTATAGATCCATAAGGAAAAGAGAGGAAAATATTTGAAGAAATATGGCCACAAATTTTCCAACTAGAAACCACAGCTCAATGAACTCTAAGCATAATAAACCTGCAAGAACATATATGCGCAAATATGCTCACACACACCACAGAGGCATATCATAATCAAATTGCTGAAAATCAGAGATAAATAGCAAACCTTAAAAGCAGCCAGAAAAAAGATACATTATACAGAGAAGAAAACGACAGCAGACTTCTCACCAAAAAAACCATGTAGGACAGAAGACAAGAAATGACATTTTTAGTGTGCTCAAAGGAGAAAAAAAACCTGTCAAACTAAATTTCTATATCGAGCCAAAAGATGACCTAAATGGAAAGCCATACAGTATTCATGCATTAGAAAACAGTACTGTTTATATTTCCATTTCCTCCAAATTGATGTTTGTTCAATGTAATTCCAATAAAAGCCCGTTTTTGTTTGTGAAAACTAAGATGGTTTTAAAATTAGAAATGCAAAATTATGGACATAGAGTAGCCAAAAATTTGAGAAAAACAAACTTAGAGAACTTACACTACCTAATTTCAAGACTTCTTATAAAGCTACAGTAGTAAGTCAGATACTGATATAAGACTAGACAAAAATCAGTGGAACAAAATGCAGATTCCATACATAGATACACACATACATGGCTTATTCATTTCCACAAAGGTGACCTGATAATTTAATAGAGGATAGTCTTTTCAACAAGTGATTCTGGCTAGATTTCTGTATGGGAAGAAAATAAATTTTGATCCTTAGACTCCACAACATACCAAAAAAAAAAAAAAAAACCCTCAAAATTAATGATAGACCTAAATGTAAATGCTATAAAACTATAAAAACCTCTGAAAGAAAACAGGAAGAAAAAAAAAACCTCAATGACCTTGGCATAGGCAGATTCTTAGGATATAAAATACTAAGCATAAAAAAAGACATAACATCTTTGAAACAAATGAAAACGCAAAGCACAGATCAGGAAAAAATATTTGCAATAACTATGTATGACAAAGATCATCCCGAATATAAAAAGAAGTCTTACTAAATTGTTTATCTTTAGGATATATTTCTAGAAATTGAATTAGTCAAAGAATATGAACTATCGTGAAAAACCTTGGTACACATTGCCGAACTACAGTTGGTACCAATTTTCATGCATCTTTTTTAGTAGAAAATGGAAGTGCTGGTGGGGAGTGGAATGGAAGGGGGCTCTTTTCAGAAACCCTTATTCTTAAATTTGAGCAAAAAGTCTTTTTGAAAAGCTTTTCCATTAGTTTAAAATCTATTGTAGCTCATATCACTGAATTCAGTGCATTTTAAATTCTGTTTATTTTTATCACATTAATCAATGAATATGACTTACCTATTAACTGACTTGAAAAGGAATAGCTAGGTATTTATCTGCATTATATATATACTTAGTTGAAACTTTTCTGAAATACACTACAGGAATATTCCATTGTAATAATAAGCACTGACAGTTACTTGTACAATTGATTATTCATTGACTTCCATTTTTAATTCTCTTTGTAAATCTTCTTTTGAAAGATGTAGTTAACATTTGATAAAATGTACATCCTAAAAACATCCTCGGATTCGGGACAATTCTCTCATTTTGCAGATAGAAAAATGAGGAATAGAGGGGGTTAAACAGCATCAGCATGTTTGTGCATCATGTTTCCAAATGTCATAGTAATACTCTCTCTTTGCTTCATTATACCATCCAAATACTGTCTGTGAAAGAATTTTCAGCTAAAGCACAAAAGTGCTCTACTGTATTAAAATGACTGCTAGTACTTATAAGAAAAAAACTGAACTATACAATGTTATATAAGCTGAGTTTCTGAATCCTGACAATCCCTTAAAAGGTAAAGGAGTTTTTTTACATGAAAATCTAAGAATGACCACTTACACTACCAGAAAGTTTCAAAAATCACTTAAATTAAGAAATAGAAATTTCTTTGGTTAGAAAACATTACATCCTGAAATATGCCTTACTTTTCTAGCTAGTACCAGAAATTATACTCGAATACAATCGAATTCAATGATGGGACCACAAAAAAGGGTTATTAGTAATCTATTGAATACCTGTATAATCAAAATTTGATAATTGGCGGAATATAAAGATCAGAAGGAGAAAAAGGGCAATCGTGATAGAATCCAAGGTAAAGTTGAAAATTATGTAATTCAAAAAGCTATTTGAAATATTTTTATAGCTTAAACCCCATTATTCTATCTATGTCTTAAACATTTTGGGGGGATGTGGAGATAGTAAGAGTGAGGGAATGGAAAGAGGAGAAAATATAAAATTGAAGATACCTAGAATGGTGGAAGTGACACTGGGACAACTCCACATCTAAGATCCACTATGAAGGCTCTTTAGATTCTGCCTCCTTAGCTAAAGTGGGGAAAATTACAAAAAGAGTATATGGCCAGGACATGTTAGAAAAGAATGTTTGTTAAGCAAAGAAACATAGAATCAAGTATGGGTTCTGGCAGATAGTGTTTAAAATTCTGCCTTAGAAATAGATTTTTAAAATGTCAGAACATTGAAAAGCAAGCAAAAGACACCTCATCACTGAGTTGTATGTTTGAGGAGAATCTTATTACTTTTTTCCCTGTGCCTTTCCTTTCTCCAACATGGATACATATATGGTGCCTTACATTTACGTAGCACTTGTCATTAAAGCATTTCCATGATCACTACTTCATTTGATAGACTAACCCATATTCCCTTTGTAGGAAAATACTGAATAGCAACTGTGAGGCAACAGGTGAAAGAGCAATAGAGATGGAAGAACTCTAAATGTCCGTGTCCAGTCTCACGTAAAGTGAGGTTTAACACAAATGTTGAATACTACTACTGTGAATTGATATAGCACTTTGTATTTTTCAAAGCCTTTCCTGATGTCATCTGATCAACAAATGGCCTTAAAAGCGCTGCTATATTCTGGGTGATATAGTTCATTACAGGTGAGAATTTCCAGCAAACTAACAATATTGATATTATTTATTTTAAATTAGTCACATGTGATTTGCTAGACCTATTTATCAGGGAGAACTACACATAAGTCTTAATGCAATATTATGTGAACTCTTGTACTGAAACTTTATGTTGTGATTAGTTTTCAAAATAACCAAATCAATAGCTTTCTGTAAATTGTTGGCTCAAATGTTCTGTTATGCATTATTTCTGAATCTGGGCAGATCAAATGAACTGATAATTAAAAATCTTCTAATATATGAATCAAAGTCATTTGTAGGCATAGGATTCCTCTGTTCCTTAATAGGAAATGAGCCAGCCAGAGACACCAGTAATTTTGAGGAAAAAACCAGACATGAAAAGATAGCAAATGTTAAAGTAACAAAAGTTGTACAGCAAGAACAAGAAATGCTGGCTCTTCCAGGCAAGGAGACTGGGGCAACCATGTTTTACAGTGAAATAATGAAATCTAGACCCAATTATTTCTTTAACAGATGAAGAATGAGCTGTTTATATTAAAGTTGAGCAATAAGCCAGAAACATGACAGTCTAATTTTAAATATGAGGATGTTCTCTACATATTAGGTAGATACAACTAAGAAAGAGTAGAACACAGCTGCACTGTAAGAAAAATGGTCTCAAGTTTAACAATCTCTGTCTAGTTATGTCATTATTTTTTCTTTTTTTTTTTTAACATCTAAAATTGTCAAATAAGGCACAATTCTGGAATTCTAAAGCATAAATGAGTATGTCAATTTAATGAAAATGCAATTCAGGATCATATGCAGGATATACATTTATTAACAGCGAAAGACCATTTATCCAAAGTGAATATTACAAAATACAAAGAATATCTGCACAGTCTGGTGAGCTCATTATTTTAGGCATTATCTCAACCTGTGTAGGGTTCTCTCTCACCTATTTTGACCTTTTCTCCCTCTCTTATCTCTAATAAAATTTTTTACTTACAAATTAAGACAAATGGAAATATTTAATGCCTAACCTTTTAGCAATAGCTTCTAGGGGAAAACATGAAAAGTTATCTGCTCTCAAGTCCTAGGTAATTTTAAAACAATTTAGCTTTAAAATATAAAACAGACATTATAGCAGCTATTAACATAAGTCAAATAAGCAAGTTTGATAAGGTTCATAGGTACTATAGTAATAACCAGAAGTACAACTCTTCCACAGTATCAATCTTTAATATGCATGCAGAGAGAGAGTTGTAATATGTAAGGCTTGACTTGAGTACCAAAATGAGGTTTCCCCTCTTCCTGTACAATCCAGAAAACAAATATAGAACTGGAATAGACATAAAATGTAACTTATTATTTCAGTTTCCCTGAAGTCAGACTAGCTGGATAAGAATTCTTCATTCTGGAATTAAAAGTTGGAGATATATGTCACATAATTTACATGTGTAGCAATATACCTGTCCCGCGACTTACATGGTCATTTTTTTAATGCAAGTTTTTTATATACAGTAAATATCCCCCTGTTTGCGCAGGCTTTTTATATGTGGTTTCCATTTACGTAGTCTCATTTTATGTGGTTCTTTTTCATTTCCATTATTGGTGATTACTCTTTTTAAAAAAAATAGCTTAACTCAGCAACATACAAAAAACTAACACAATTATTAATGATCTTCCCGTTTATTGTATGGCAAATAAAAAAGCATGGGTGACTACTGATGTTTTTCAAGATTGGTTTTACAAATGTTTTTTGCTGTAGGCTGAAAATTATATGAAGGAAAAACGTCTTCCTTTTAAAATACTTTTAGATAACACACTTGGTCATCCATACAATTTAGAACATCCAAATACAAAAGTTGTATATTTGCCACCAAATACAACTTCCTTGATCCAACCTTTAGATCAAGGCATTATTTCCACCTTTAAGATTAACCTACATTAAACAGTTTAATTAATATTTTTAATAAATTTGAAGATAATGAATCACTTTACAGTTACAGAAGCCTGGAATAAACGCACAATTTTAAGTTGTATCAAGAATATTGCGTTAGCTTTGAGTGATATAAAGCCATCAACTTTAAGTGCTTGCTGGAAAACAATATGGCCAGAAGTGGTTGTACCAGGGAATACGGTTCCAACAACTGAAGTGGGATTAATTGCCATTATTAACTTACTAAATAAATTTCAAGAAGGCTCAAACAATTAGAATACAAATGATATTAACAAATCACTGGTTGATCACGAATTAACTGATAATGAATTAATTCACTTAATACCTGAGTCCAAACCTGCCAATGAATACAGTAGTGACCTTGAACCAGTTTCGTTCACTGCAGAATATATTAAAAAGCTCTTCGATTGGCCACAAAACTGGAAACTGCAATTCTAGATATTGATCCAAACATCCGACAAACAAAAAGATTTTTTTAAATGTTGCTGTGAATATTGAAGAATTTATGAAAACTTAGCAACTTAGATGGGGTTAGAAAAGACCATCTAAAAACATTAACATAAATAACAAAACCGTAGTAGTACTTCCAAATATTTGAGCAATGAAGATAGTGACTTTGTGCCAATTAAAAAGAGGTTGATTGCTTTAGATGACAGTACAGATACCAACAGCAAAAATTTATTTTGGTTTTTCTGAATTTTCATTAGCATTTTTTTGTGAAAATGTAAAATATTTTTATGACTTATATTGGCCTATTTTTTTTTTGCACTGGAGGACTCTTTATGTGGTTCTCTTCCACGTAAAAAAGAAGATGCGTGGAATGGATGATCCACGTAAATCGAGGGATGGGTGTACAGCAGATGTCATCATAGGGAAATGCCCATATAATACTCCCTAATTGGACATTACAGTTTTACACTGAAGTATCAGACAGGTAAGAAATTTTAAAAGCATCCCAACCAAATTCTTTTCTTATAGGTATTTTGGTCAACTATTAACAAATTTAAAAGATACTTAAGATAATTCTTTATATTTTATTCAAGGAAGAATCTGAAGGTTGACTTAACTGTTAACTGGCTCTGTGAAGCCTTACTGGGTATATGTTAAGTTTGGGATCTAAAGGTAAAATACCTTTTAAAAGCTGACTTAGTGATGAAGAAGTCACATAGATTTCCATTACTCAATACTTTATCTGCAAACTGCTTTCTCTCACTACATGCAAAGCAATTACTATGCTCTGGTCTTAAGCTATTATCTTTAAAGGTACATCTGTCCAAAGGCATACAGAACCTTAACGTTCTGGTACATAAATTCGGCACTATTAACCCCTACTTGAAAGAGCTCAGTTTTTCATTTAAAATTAATCACAATGTTACTTATCTGTGCAGGAATACTCTCTAATTATATAAAACTTTTAAAATTTTTAGATGTAGGCAACAGAGATAGGAACTGAAATTCTAGAAAATATTTATCTAATAATTATGTAAGTTCTAGATACTAAGGAAATGTGTTCTAAACTTACCCAATTTGAATAGAGTATGAATATATAATCTATAATTACTTCACAGAGATCCTGAAAACCTTTAAAATCTGCCCTATTCTTGCACAGGAATAAGACTAAAAGAACATTAGACCCAACAGCAGTTAACATTGGCATATTGTGGAAACCTGGCCTAATGCTGGGCTTTGTAATAAATAGTGTATTATTTCTCTAACTCTAGATCACTGCTCTTCTTTGAACTGCCTAATTATATAGAATTGTGACTTATTGTACAGGATTCAACATAATTCCCAAAAAAGATATTTTACAGATAAATCCAAACTTTATTTAAAACTACATTTTAAATTCAATGTTACCAAACATCACAATGGGGAAAAAAAATCGAGACCAAAAAAAGAAAAGAAAAATAACTCCACAGTGTAACAAGGCTTGAATCTGTTCAGAATTTAGTTTCTGATGTTTTAAACTGCCATGGGCAGGAATTAGCATACCTATCAAAAATGCCGTGTCAAACTAATTTACATTTTTATACAGATCAAAACGGATGTTTATTTAGAACCATTTTCAGATATGCACTGACTATGTGAAGAGAGAGTTAGATGAGCCTCTGAAGACATCTCATGTGCTTTGGGCTCCCACTGTTTCTGAAAAACAAAACAATAATTAATGCCTTATAAATTACTTACCAGAATTTACTTTAATATTGTTGACTTCCATTAGTACTTTCACTTGTAATATAAAGTTATTACAGAAGAAATACTAATTTAGTTTCCTGCAATAATTCCCAGATAACACACCAGAGTTTAAAAAGAATAGGTGTGAGTTTCTGTTTTAAGACGGCGGACTGAGCAGATACTTCCTCTCGAAAATACCCCACTAGAAAAAAAAAAAGAACTATAAAAATGAAGAAATCCAGACCAACAAAAGAGTGGTTCTGAGAGAACAGAGAGGCGATATTAACAAATTCCCAAACTGCTGAAAGCAGAGGGAGGCACAGTGAGAGTGGAGGAAGCTGTAGCCTAGACACACTTTGAGATGGGTCCGCTGAGATTCTAACAAGCAGAACTGAGCTGAAGACTGGAAAATTAATTGAAGGTTTGATATTTGGTGCACCCGTCTCTTTGCTCCATTTCCAGGAAAAAACAAAATAATTTTAATCAATTAATGAATTGATAGAAAATAACAAAAAGAAAATCTTTTGACTTGGATGCAAGAAATAATCTCCTCTGAGTGGCGCAGGGGTTGTGCTATTAGACTCACAAAAAAGAAATCTGGGACTATCCCCTGGCTCTGTAATCAATCATTTATATAGAATCTTCAGAAAAATATAAATTTAATGATTATAATTACAAAAATAAAATGTGTGTTTAATTTAATAATCTTATTAATGTTAAGACTATGACTAAAACTGAACAGAGGGAAGAGGAAGAGGGAAGGAACAGTTGGGAAAGACCCAAATGACAAAGGTAACAAATGAAAACAAAAAACATGAACACTTAAGGAGAGATAGGTCTAAATACCCACTTTTCATTTTGGAGAGAAGAAACATTATCCAAATTTTTAAGATTAAGAAAAATTATAAGTATAATTTTGAGCTATAGAGGATCTCCTCCAAAAGGAAAACCAATAATTAAAAGCAATGGGCTTTTACCAATTATTATTAACTATTTTGTACCTTCCTTTCTTAAACCATGTGCATCTATTACTTTGCTAGACCTGAAGATTTTAAAAATAGAAAAAATCTGAAAATATCATTTTATAAATTAGAAAGCTGTACTACAGTTTTTAGGAAATTATGTTTCATTTTCAATATTTGGCTTAAATCTTCCAGGTACTACTAATGCATTTAAAAAACAAAAAATAATAGTATTATGATTAATTTTTCAATACAGTATGGTTAAAATTGATAACTTATACCAGGTTCTTTTAGTGTTTGAGAATTCCCAGCTAATTCTTCAGTCTGCATTTCACATAATATTTCACCAGATAAATGGTTTTTCTGTTCTTCTTCTACCATTTTCTTCCTTAGATCTGCCTTTGAAATGACAAAAAAATACAAAATCATTTTCATCTTAACAGTATTTATAATACAAAGGTAAGTTTAACTAAAGAGAGCCAAGTACCTCTGAATATATTGTCAGTTTAAGTGGTAAATCTTCAACTTTCACAAAGTCTTCCTCATCAGATTTTTGACTTATGTTACCAGATTCTGCTTCCTGTAAGATAAACAAATTATATTTAATGAAGGCAAGCTAGTCTATCTCTGGATCTAAACCAGGTGTGGGGCATATTGTTGTGTTTTGTTTCATTTTATATAACAAAGAGCCAGTTTATACAGGTTAAAGGAAGAAATAATAGTAGTTATGCTGAGGGCTAAAATAATTAGAACAACAACTCTTGTTTCTTGATATGTTTACAGAATACAACAGAGCTGTATCCAGCAGACTGTAAGTAAACGTTTACAGACTTTCAATATCAACTTTGTGGAGGTTCAAATAGAAAGATGAGGTATGAAATTAAAACTCACTTTTGTAATCACCACACACTGTACTTTTCTGAAACTTGACTTCCTTTATTCTCCTTGTTTTTCTTTCTAATTTTTAATCGTATCATCATTCTACCAATTATCTGAGGGGAAACTTTAGGTTTTCCTTTTTCTCGCAACATTTTCCACCCATCTCTCTCTCATCTGAATCATATTTTGTATTTATATGATAATGGAGCCTCCTAACATTGCTTCCTTGACAACATATCTTACACACTCATCAGATTCATATTCAAAAACCAAGACTTTGAACATTTCACTTTCTGGTGCAAAAACCTTCAGTAGCATCCCCTGTCTAAAACTCAAATCCAAGATTCTCTATAATCTAATTTCAATTCAGTGCTTCCTATTTCAACTCTATACATTCATCAAATGATAAGAATAAATCTTAACAGGTAACTTGCAGAGTTTTAAATGCATATTTTACTGGTAGTGAAGCAAACAAAACAGAGTTAAGTTATTCTTTCTACTAATGTTTTTAAAACATTATCAGCCCCCTTTCTGAGAAATTGGTATATTATGAAATCATAATATACCTTTAGGAAGAAAATCTGTATTAAAGAAATGTGAAACACATTGCCTCAGACCTAAAAGTACACTGTTATAAATCCCTTCATTTTTTTCTGATAAGACAAAATACATTAAACATATACAACCCAAGGATCCAAAAAATAAACTACTTGCTATAAAATTAAATTGATACAAAGGTCCAGAGTAAAACTAAACTTACCTATTTACATCATAAGTACAATTTGCTAGCATATTTCTTTGTTATTCACTATATAGAGATCTCTACTGCTGTCAAATTGTTTCATTTCCTATTCCAAATGTAAACTTACATTTATAATAGGTTTATCAAAGATTTACACAGTATTCTAAATAGTTGAGAAGTCATGTATGAGTAAGTTAAGAGACTAACGATTCGAGAATCATTATGCCTTCAGAGCTGAACTTTAAATGAACTCTCTCAAGGTTGCCACCTAAAAGTCATCTCTTTGGTTCTCAAAATTATAAAAAGGATAGCTTTTAGGTTTTGCGATGGTCGTCTTAATTTATTATCACCTTTCAAGTTTAAAATAAGTTCGAATAAGAAATAAAAATATTCCAACGGTTTCTAAACCTAAACACAAAGTGAGGTTGTGTTTACATGCTGAAAATATAACCTGAAAATAAAGAAATACAAACAGAAATCAATGCAGAAATACTTAGAAATAAAAATGATACATACATAGTCATTTACTAACACTGGAGATTCAGTATCAGGACTTCCAGCCAGAGAGCTTTCAGGAGTTTCCTGAGCAGATTTAACTTCTTTGACTTTAGGCACCAAGGTTTCAATTTCAGTTAAAGGTAAAGGCAAAGTGTTAGGCTGTTCAGATGAATCAATGGTAGTAAGCAAGTCCTTTTGGACAGTACTGTTTAGAGGTTGCTCATTTTCCAAGATATTGAGGTAACACGGTTTCACAGGAGTGCTATCTTGGTTATCTGTCATCAAAAGAAAGTCTTAACATTAGTGTAATGCAATAACTGTTAAATTTTACTATTATTCCAAATAAAGACAATGTGTATGAATCTAGAGTAACCAAGACATCTAGAATAACTAGAGTAACTAAGACCCAAAAGAAGAGGCAACTACAAATTTTCCTTATCAACAGTTCTCAAATTTAGCATATTCATCTAGAGATTTTTAAAAAATTAAATTCCTGAAATCCGCCCAATTTCTAATGAAGCAAGATTTTTAGGAGTAAGGCCCATGAATGGGTATTTAAAACAAAACAAAAAACACACATTTGTATCTAAAGATGTCTTCTTTGCAGAATTTTTCTGTGCATTTAAGTATGTCAACTTTTAATGGTGTTTGCAGAAACAAAGCCCTCTTGTTTTCTACAATGTTTTTAGGGGGAGAAAAAGGACATATGTTAGGTCCAAAATACTGTCAAACTTACATTAGCTAACGACTTAAATTTTTTTAGTTTTTAAGCACATAAAAGGTACTTTACATAATCTTAAAATTAAATGCTTATTTAGATTTCTTACCTTTATTAGTAGGGGGTTCTTGTTCTGATGGGACAGTTTTGCTTTCTGCTGATTTTTCAAAGTCCTGTTGTAGAGCCTAGAAGAATAAAGAAATGTCTTAATAACAGGACCTAAAATATACCATGCCACTATACAGGAGATGCCTACTAGTATGTGGCTTTTGTCCAATATGAGACCATCACACAAAAGAATTTAAAAATACCTTCTAAAAGTGTTTCAAAGAGGCTACCAGTTGCAATTTCAAGATGACTGAATAAAAAGGTTTCTTCTTCTTAACCTCAAAATAATACGGAGAATTGGAATATTATAGATTCCACTATATTTTATTTTCAGCAGGTCTAAAAGCCAAACCTAGAATAGGGCAGGAAAGGGGAGTGCTCTAGAAAAGGACAAAACCAACAAATTGGTTCATGGAGAAAATTTCACTGAAAGGTTTATACAGCTTTTGGCAGGCATAGCAAAGACTTGGGTATATGTTCAAAGAAAATTAAGTGAATAAAAAATTGAGACAATTATTAAACTCAGGTGATAAAATGTATAACACTAACGATAAACAGTAATATTGGTCAGTAATATTTACATATCTGGTTAAATCTAAATGTTTGATTACATATAGAATTAACCAAAAGTTATAATTAAATGAGGAGTCATGAATGATCTAAAAATCTTACCTACTATAATAGGAAATTGATAGATAACATCTAATATACAAATGAATAAATATATGCACAGATACATATTATTCAGAAATACAGAGGTAAATAAAAAAAAAAAAACATACAAAGCAATGCCTCTGAGGCAGGATGAAGCAGAGGTAGAAAAGGGAATGATTTTATTCTGTTGCATATTATTTCCATGTAAGGCTAGGAAAAATATAAATTAAAAATCCAGATAGTCTGAAGGACTTGCTACAAAAAAAGATTACAGTGCTTTCAATTTAAACACTGCTAAATACAAAATTAAACCAGTGTTTCAGATTTCAATAAAAATATGCAAAAGGTTTGTATTCATGAAAATGAGAACAGGGAGCTGTAAATTTTTACATCTTTAAAAAGGATCTGCTTTTAGTAGTTAAAAGAAAATTGGTGGAAGGTGTGTTAGTCTACACTGGAATACCTGATCATCGTGTTCATTTTCTTCCGTAGTTTCAGTGTTAGCCTGAAGTGAAGTCTGGACATCTACCGGTCCCTCTTCAAATTCTTCTATTTCTTCATCTTCATTCTCATCTTCTCCACTTCCATAATTATTCAAAGCCTGAGTTTCCGCTTTGGACAAATCTAAGTCGATTAACACAATTTTTAGTAATTTTTCAGCAGTTAATAATAGCTACAATTTATTGAATTACTGTATTGTTCAAGCGCTTTACATGCAACATCTGAAATCTTCAAAACAGTAAATACTAGAAAAAACTGTGGTGCAGAAAGGACAAATAATTTAGTCAGGGTCACACTGGAATTCAAATTCAGAGTTGTCTGACATCTAATTTTACATTCATTATACTCCAACAAACTTTCAATAAAAGACCTATTAAGGACCTATGTATAAACCTAGCATGGAGCCTTTAAACTTACTAATGGACACTGGACATTCTTCACTTTCTTCATCTTCCTCTTGATCAGAAACATCAGATTTCACATATTTGGGACCATCACCATCATCATATTCCTCAGATGTTTGAGTCTGCTTAACTGTTTCAGTCTCATCCTTGTCCTAGCACAAATAAATGAGTAACTAAAGTACACTTAAAAAAAGTATACAGTAATTCTACAAAAATTAATAACCATCATTACCCAATTAAAAAAAAGAATCATTTTTGACAATTTAGTTTTGTTTTTAAGAGAAAGGTCATTTGATGATATACTTTAAAGTAAGATCTGTTAAAATCATTTAATCTTCCATTTCAAAACCATTATTTTTAGGCACAAATTAACTAGCACGTACTTTGTCTTTGCAATCAATTTCTCTATCAGGTGAGCTATGATCTCCTTCAAGAATCCTTTTGGCCTATAAGCAAATCAATTAAGCAGAATTTAGGGGTAAACTTTCAGCATTACACTTAGGTATTCAGTAAGCTTTAACAAACAATGCATTTTTTAACCATTATCCAAATAGCTGAATGCTTTCTTAGAAATGTCAATTAAACTCTTTTATTTAAATCTTTTAAATTCACAAAACCAAAGCCACTGACATCCCTTAGATATATAAGTGGTATCTCAAATTTACTAAGTCCAAAACAAAATTCTTTATTTCCTTCCTTCCAAAATGCCATCCTCCTTTAGTCTTCCCAATCTCAATTAACGGCCCTTCATTCTCCCAAATGCACAAATCAGAAAACGAGGAACCATCTTGTGCTTTATTTTTATTATCCACATCTAAATCACTAGAACACCTTATTGACTCAATCATCAAAGTGTATCTGTTGCGGCTCACTCATAGATGAGACACATCATTTCCTACCTGGACTACTGCAACAGCCTTAAAACTGATTTCTCTGCTTCTACCTCTACTCTCCTACAATTCCTGTTCAATACGGTATCCAGATAATAATTTTAAATTGTACATGAGATTACATCATTCCTCTATTTCAAACTTTCCCATGGGTTTCCATCCTGCTTAGAATAAAATAAAACAGGAGATCTTTACCATGGTTTCCAAGGCCCGTAACTTGGCTTCACCTACCTCTGTGACTTCATCTCTTATACCTGCACCTCATTTAATGTGTTCCTGCCTCCCTAGACTTCTCTCTTCTCCAAACTGCTCAATCCTGCCTTAGCGTCTTCATACTTACAATCCTCTCCTCCTGAAATGCTCTTCTTCTTCATCTTCATTATAAACTCCTAGTCTTTCATGCCTTAGCTCATATTTCACCCCTTTAAAGAACCTAGTGAGAGTGCCTATATAAAGTAGCCCTTCTATTATCCTGTTTTATTTTCTTCAAGCTGTAAGCAATGACTGACATAATCTGAAACTTAAATTTATATCTAGAATAAACACATTATAAAAAGTGCAAAAGAGATGGCTTGACTTTACTCCAGATTTAAGGAAGGGTTATGTCCTGTTCTGGATTTTGATTCACTTTCCCTTTCATCATTAGAATCAAGAAAAAGGTTCATGTCAAGGGAAAAAGCCTTCTGGTATGGCTCAAATTGAGGGGAAAAAAAAAACATTCAATTTCACATGTGACTGAGACTAATTTAACAGAGTATATAAGAGGCTAGAGGGATGTGCAACCGAAATCCCACTGGTAAAAAAGCATGTGTGTTGGCTGAGGTGATATACATATTATGGGTTGGCTGGCAATAGATGTGGCAGTCAGCTGGTCAAGAACCAGATCCCTGTCATCCTCTCTTCTCTGGAACTCTGAATAAGGACAATAATGTGAATTGGATATCTGACAATGTACATTTAGCATCAAGTCCTCTCTGCATTCCTTTTCTGCAGTTACTGCTGTTACCACTGAGATTCAGTATAATCTGATTAACAGGTATTACTTTAAAACCACTTTTCTGAGGTCAAGTATAATTTTAGTTATTAATAATAATCAAGAACTGTACTTATGTGTTAATTATAATTACTTCTAAAATCAAAATGAATGTCATTTACCTCTTTGGCATAAGACTGTATCACTCCAGCTGCTTCCATTTTCCTTTTGCATCTCTGTTTAGCAGTCATACTATTATTATCCAAATCTTGCATGAGCTTAAAGAAAGCCAACTCATTAAACAATACTTCAGATATCTCTACAAGAAGATCTTCTCCACAGTCTTTCAATTTTCTGCCAGCAAATTTTGCCAGTGAATCCTATTCAAAGATAATCAAATCACTTTAAGATTATAGTAAACTTCAACTGTGGATAGAGCCATTCAGATGATTAATAAGTTTCAATTGTAATACCTAGTGAAAAACAATTTTATTACTCTTTACTTATTGAAATACAGCATCAAGTGAGCACTTGTCTGCTATATTTGAGCTTTTTTATAAAACTGATTTTTTTCCCTTTCTTCCTAAAAACATGGACTATGCTATTTAGCAAACAGGCAAATAACTATGATGTCTGGTGTCCCCCTCCCTTCCAAAAGACTACCTTCTATAGCACAATTATGAGAAGTGCAAATGCTGGATGCCTTGTGGAAAAAAAAGTCATTAAACAGGTTTCATAGGAAAAAGAGTAGAAATAATTTAAGCTCTAGCTCATAAAAAAATTTTAATACTCTGGTCAAGATTTAACATACACAACTTTTATTCTTCATGTAGTTCCCCTTGTGGAAAAAAAATCAGGAATGGGTGAAAGAAAAGCAGTCTAATTTTCTGAGACTTAGAAAGAATCTGACTTCCAAACTAACACTTTTTGAGATTTGCCCACAATTATAACAGTAGGCAAAACCGAGGAAGAACTGCATGGCTCTTGGTAAACAAAAAGTATTTAAATTATACACAATTTCTCTTTCATCTTGATTCTAAAATGGACTTATTTCTTTCTGTAGAAATAAGCTAGATAAATTTATAAAATACATTTATCTAAAAATTATTCTAAATATTTTTTAAACAATGCACAATACCACTGATGTCTTATAGTCCTTATAAATTTTATGTTAGTTCTATTAGATTAAAAAGAGTCGGGACGATTTAATGACTATATATAACTTATACGTCAGTCTTAAAATAAAATGGAAAATTATAATAATGGAAATTTGCATCAAGGATAGGTTTTTAAAAAATTAACAAAGTGATAATATTGTCTCTAAAATCAATTTAATTTAAACATAGTAATAGAAAGGAAAAGTTTTGTAGGATTTTGTAATAATGACTAAAAGCACATGTATTTTCTAGTTTAGAGTAACAATACACATTACTGAACTATCTTAATGAGAAAATATATGGGTGAATTTAACTGTAAAGATGTTTATGACATGGTTAGTAAGTAAGGTATGCTTATTTAACATAGGGTTTCTCAACCCTGGCACTATTAACATCTCACTAGACGCTAGATGCATCCCTGTGTGTTGGCAAACAAAATGTCTACAGACATTGCAAAATATCTCCTGGGAATTCCCAATTCCCAGCTGAGAATCACTACTTCGAGGTTAGTGTTACAGCCTAAGAGGTCCCCACAATCAATAGCTGCTTTCTTGCTTCTAAAACTTCTCAGATTGGTAAAAAATCATTTTATAAAATATGGCAGAATATTTTCTTAAACATTTCAACCTTGAAATGTTCTTATTAGATAGGAGAAAAATCAAAACAAAATTAGAATTGGGATAGGCCTCAGGGATGATCAAATTAAATGAAGACATAGGCCCTAGTAATTTTTTAACCAGTTAAAGAAATAACCTAAAAAGTATTAAAATGTCACCCTAAATAGATGCTAGAATGGATAGCTGCTTGAATAAATGGTGTAATGCCAGAAAATGGCAGAAAAGCACATCCTAACCAGATGGCACATATTGATGTCATACAAGTATAAACTCTTACCTGTAATATACTTCCAAGTTGTTTATGAAAGAACTTTACAAACTCTTTACTCTCATCATTTTGCTGGGTCAGGGTCAACACCATGCGTCTTACTGAAGTTAGAAGCTGAGAAGAACATACTTCATCCATGTGTTCCTGAGAGAAATCCTAGCTGGTTAGGATATAAACTTACCTACTGTTCAAAAATTATTGATCTACATAATATGAGGTTTTATTTTTCTTGCATAGGTACTTCTCTACTTTCAGATATGCATTTAAAATTATTCATTCATTCCTAAGAATAGCCAAACTCCTGCTCTACACACATTAAGAGGTTTGCAAACTTTGACTTACCACAGCAAATAACGGCCAGTAGAAGAAACCGACTAATTCAATATTTTTCATCACTTTCTTTCTGTACTTTAAGGAGAATTACTCATTCCACAGTTTCCAAATTATCTGTCTTCCTATTTGCAATTCAGTTCATTTCAACTGCTCTTAGGATCATACTCAAGCTTTCTCAACATTGGCACTACTGACACCTTGGGCATTGTAGGATATTTAGCAGCACTCTGGTCTACATGCTAGATGCCAGTAGTATACTCCACCCTCCCAAGTCTTGATAACTAAAAATGCATCTAGACGTTACAAAATGTTTTCAGGGTCAAAATCACCCTCAGTTGAGAACCACTGGTCTAACCTTCTTAACAAGCCACTTGGGCAAGTCTCTTCTTAATCTTCCTAAAGAAGCATGTTCAAACTACATAATAATCTTATTCATGGTTTGCTTTCTGAGGTAAGTCCATAAAACACCCATATCAAGTAACCTCAAGGTTCTAATCTCTTTTCTGCCACTAAACTCGTTTGGGCAGGTCCACTAACCTTTAGTTGGGTAAATCTGTGGGGTTTTCTTTTTTCTGTACAAATGTATAAAATCAGGTGGCCAAACCAGATGATGTCTAAGGACCTTAAATCTAAGGATTTAAGTTCATTTAAAAAAAATTCACATGTTGTCTACAGCCATGCCACCCTGAACAAGGCTGATCCCATCTGATCTCGGAAGCTAAGCAGGGTTGGGCCTGGTTAGTACTTGGATGGGAGACCACTTAGGAAGACCAGGAGCTGTATGCATAAAAAATAAAAAATAAGGGATTGTAAGCTAAGGTCCTTGCAATCTCTGAGGTCAATCAAGGTTTGCCTCACCTAATTAAAAAAAAAAAAATTCTCATGTCAAGGCAGGCAATTAAAAAAAAATGTTGACAACAGATACGTGAATCACTAAAACTATGCACTATACAGTAAACAATAATTTTTAACTGCAGGGACTATTTCTTATTTATCACCTAGCACAGTGGCTAGCTCACAGGGTACACTAATTACTTGCTGAATAAATAAACATCATAAAAGCACAAGGTGCTATAAAGAGCTGTGGTAGCACAAGAAAAGCAACAACAAATACCTCTGATACAGGGTAAGAGAGAGTCAAGAAATCTAGCTTACGTGACTGTGTGTAATGCTGACATAAACAAAAAGTTTCTATAATCTTACCAAAAAAGAATGAAATGAAATAAGACATAATAAAATAGTTAAAGTCAAATCATTAGTCCTACTCATTTTGTTGCTCTCAGAAATTTTCTGAAATGTTAAATTCAGTAAGGGAATCCTTATGAAAGAATATTACTTAAATCAAAAACAAAATGGTAAATGCAGTAAAATTTTCTGAGGATGGTTGTATCCCCTAAGCATAAAGCTAAATTATTATTTTTTAACCTTAGAAAATAACTACATTTCAAATAAATATTACTACCAATCAACCTAATTTAACCAAAAGACATGTTTTAAGTATTTATTGAATTACTCGCAAAAAACAAAATTACAGAAAGGCAACACAGTTCTCCATGTCTAAGATGGAAGCAAGCAATAACTTAAATAGTTCAAGTCAATTCACTTGAGAGAATGGTTTCAAACTCTTAAATACTTATCTATATTTGCATATTCTTATAATTTATAGGAATATAATAAGTATTCTTTTTTGGGAGGAATACATATTTTACAAATAACAAGAGATAAATTCACAGAATAACTTGTGAAACATGGAAATAACTGATATTTTGTTGTAAGTGCTATGATAAAGGCACGTACCAAATATTCCAGCAGTGAAGAGAAGGAATTCTGCCTGTCAGAACATGCAAAAATATTTGGGCTGTGTCTTGAAGCAGAAAACCAACAGAGGTAGGCTGGAAGAACATTCTAGGCGAAGGAATAACATGGGCAATGTGCCTTTCTGAATGTCAAGTAGGATACAAAGTATATGGGAAGGGAAGAGTTAAGAGGCTGGAACCAAGCTGTCAAGATTCTATTAGTGATGCTCTATGGGCCAGTTGTTTTCAAACTATACTTCTTAGAGCCTAAAGAGCTTGAGAAGTTTGAAAACCACAGCTAAGGTTTGAAGGTTCCATTCATTTACTAATTCAATAAGTATTTACTGAATGCCTATTACATGGAGCTACGGATCTTGGCACTGGTGATAAGACAGCAACCATAACAGATTTACATCTCTGACTTTATGGAGCTTATGTTTTAACTGGGGGAGAGAGACAAAATAAGAAAAGATTAAATTGGTTAGAAGGTGACGAGCACTACAGACATAAAGAAAAGTAGGTAAGGAGTAGGGAGAGATCTGCTCATCAAAAAGATAATGACTGAAGACTCAAAAACTAAGACTACTTGACTAAAGTAGTTCAAAGGAAAAACCATTGCAGGTATTGAAGGCAGAGCACTTCAGGCAGAAGCACCAGCAAGTGCCCAGGCCTGATGCAGCTACCAATGCCAGCAGGAGAGTGAAAAATTAGAAGGGGAAGCAAACAGACCTCAAGACAACCCCTGAGGAGCTGTTGTAGTTACACAGGAAAAGGCTAACTGATTCAATTTTTATATACAGTAATTTGAGCCTAGCCAGATGATTCTCTCTCCTTTTGGCTATAAAATAAAGTCATCGGAGAGAGCCATTTCTAGAACTGCCTTCTCAAAGATTTCTGTTCTCTCAAAACATTCCAATGAAAGCAATACTTCCACCAACGGAATAAGTATGTGTATGGAAACAGCTCTCTGTTGTCAACATCTTACACACTGACAAGTAAAAGTAGGTTGTAAGAAAGGAGCCTAATGACAACATATTTTGTAGTTTCCCATATTTTAATGAAAAGACTGTCTTTTCATTTCTAATTTTTAAAATTTACATTTTAAATTAGAATGTAAGTATGCCATCTCAAGTAAAAGTCTTGTCTTCATGTTCCATTGCTTGCACACTTCTCTGACCTGTTCATTGTTATTAAACAGTACCACTTATCAGTCTCGTATACTCACTGTTGGTAGGAATAGAAATTGTTAAACCTTTCTGAGAGATGATTTAACATAACATCTCAAAAGCCTTAAAAATATTCACACTCTTAGAGCTAGAAATTCTACGTCTAAGAATTATGTCTAAGGAAATAAAAATAGGATATATATTTAAATTTAGCTAAACCATTTAAGATTTATTTATAATAATGAAATAGAAACCAGAATAAATAGATATTTAACAATAGGAACTGATAAAATAATTAATAGAAAATTCTATTCTATTAATACTCAACCCTCACAGTTGCAATCAACATAGCTCATTACTGGCAGTACTACTTAGTCCCAACTCTGGCTCATCTTCTTTTACACTTCTAAATGTTGGGTCCCCTGGGCCCCAGTTCTAGGGCCCTTTCTTTGATCTAGTGTCATGCTTTAAGTGCATTAATAGGACGTGTTGATTTCCAAAATATATGCCAGTTGTCTACTTCTCCCCATCTCTAGTACCACACCCTTGTTTAAGCCACTACCATTTCTCATCTGATATCATTGCATTCCTGACTCTCTATAATCAATTATCTACAAAGAAGACTGTTTCTCTCTTGCTTAAAACCTTCTTGGAAGTTTCCCCTTGAAACTTCAAACAAAGTCCAAACTCCTAAAAATGGCCTATAATGTCCTACATAACTGACCCCTGCCCTCTCCAATTTCATTTCATACAAGTTTCCTACAACCATATGGATCTTCCTCCAGTTCCTTCAACATGCCAACCTAGTGCCTAATCTTAAGGTATTTCACTCTGTCTGGAATGATCTTGGTTTAAGCTGACTCCTCATTCACATACCTGCTTCAATATTCCCTCTTTAGAAGCCTTCCCTGACCATCCAGTCTAAAAGACACCACTGTATCACCATATTTTAATTCTCTGCATGGCACATATCACTACCTGATATACATTTCCATGTTTTATATTTACTTATTTCTCTTTTTTGATCCATAGTCTCATCCTAACATTTAAGCTCCACAACAGCAAACAAAGGCCTTGACTTGTTTCACTTCTATGTCTACAAAACTTGGCCTAAAGTAGGAATTCTATAAATATTTTTGAATGAATAATGAATATTGTGTAACCATTAAAAAATATGCAACAGAGTGATCTAGAAAGATCACATACATAGATATGCATAAAGTATTACAGAAAGGTTCACAAGATGTTGATAGGGGCTATCTCTGAGTCACCAAACATGGGTTATTTATAGTTTTTTTCTTTTGTTTATGTGTATTTTCTGAATTTATTACAATGGAGTCCTTTGTATGAATTAAAAAACAAAACAAAGTTTATTTTTAAAATTTATTGCTTACCTTCAAAAAGGGAATGACTTCTTTCATAATTGCTTTAATTTGCCGGTCCAGCTGCTGAGTATCAATTCTAGGACATGGGACAGTAGAAATTTCACTTATAGGTTGTTGTGAACTATGATTTTCAACAATAGGAGTTTCTATTAAAAAAAAAAAGACATTAGCAAAAAAAGTCTATGACATTATATATATGCATTTATGCAAAATTTTAAGTATTAAATTATGACTTATGCTAAAATAATACAAAGGAACATCTATGCAGTTTTAGCACCCCTAATAATTTCAAGTGGTTGAAAGTTCAGTTATACATCAGGTGGGGCTTTTTAATTTTTTATATATGGAACTATGGTTTTTACTATTAATGAATTCAGGAACACACGCACCTTCTAAATTATTAACAGCAGTTGTGGCAGCAGCAGCATCTTCATCAAGAATCCTGCAGGTACATCTTACATTTGTGTTATTTTCAGCCTCAGTCTTTATACGCTCATATTCCCTCATTCTGGCTAATGCTTGATCTAAGTGAATCACAGTGTTACCTGCATAAGGAACAGAAATATTTCTAGAATCTATAAAACCAAACTTTTTCAGGTAGTCCTCAAAATTAATTTTAAAAAATTCTGAACATAGGGAAGCAAAACTAGCTTTGTGGAGTTCCAGATACTAGTTGGGTACTTGGCAAACATTACTACATTTATTTAATCCTTAAAATAATCCTATAAAGTAAGATAACACCCTCATTTTCAGAGAGCTTAAGTAACCTGCCCAAGGTTTCATAGCCAAGTTAAATGTTAGAGCAGGGATTTGAATTCAGGTCTCTTAGATTCTGAAGTTCGTATTTATTTCAATATATTATGTTGCTTCACTTAGAGTATAACAAAAATAAATCCCAAAATGTCATGCAAATTCCTTTGCATACAATCCAACCTAACACAGTTAAGGTAAAGAGAAAATCTAAGAATGAGATTTCCCAGTCTTCCTTTGTCCACTTCAAACAAAACTAGGTGAATGATTGTGAGGAAAAAAAATCAGTAAATGAAACAGGACTCAAAGTCATTTGGCAATTCAGAAAGTGGAGACAACTAAAGGGGTAACACTGGTCACAAAGTGACTTTTCTGTTTTTGGAATGAGCTCAGACTTGAAGGGAACGGGGCTTAGGGTCAACAATAACCAAAGAAAAAGAACTTTTTCTTTGCTAAAAGGTAGATACCTAAAGATGGGGTGAGGTGTGCCCTTTTCTTTGTAGTGAAACAATGCCTTTGAAATCATCTAAATCTTGTTCCTATGTTATTAACAAACACTAGAATAATGGGACATCAGATTACCATATGAACTAAGTGCCCTTGAGGTCTGAATGATTGAATACTCTGGTATCTTTTGATAGGCCACAGTCTGGAAAATTAATCAGGTTCCTATATATTTTCTTTTCCCTAATCTCCTTTCCAAATTTTCATTCAGGGTGTTTTTCTCTTCCTTTGAGTTATACAACCCTCTAAGCTTTTTTGGTTTTACTGATGAAAAAATGCAATGTGCCATGCCTTAGAATTACCTGGTTTCTAACTAAAGATTATTTATGCTAAGAAATTTTAGTTCTTACTTCAAATTACAAAGTTAATATTGTTATTGAAAATGTAACTTAATGGGGCATTGCTACTTCTTAATTCTCCTCATTGATTAACTGGAATACCTGAAAGGATGACCTTTTCCCTTAAAGAAATTAATATCATCTGAACTTCTATTATGTATATTAGAAAGTTCTATGTAGTTTTCACAAGAACACAGCAAGGTAATTAAGACCTCCATTTCCTTATTCTATCCAGAGTCAGAAAGGTTAGATGCTTTTGCCCAAGGACAAAGAGTTAAAAGTCAGGAGATTCTTTAATTTAGAAGGATGGATAAACTTTTAAGTCCCTGTTCTATCACAACTTGCCTTTCTAGACTTTTGTTTCCTTATCAATTCAAAGATTATATTAAGATCGTGTTCTAAGATGATAAAAATTTCTGCTTACCTAGATCATCTGTAGCAAAAGGCTCAAAATTTGAAGATACAGACAGCACGCTAGCATTATCAGCATCATTTTGCTCACTTATTTTATGTGTTTCTCTCTCAAAGTTCTTCTCAAAAGTTTCCTAAGTTATAGTTTTAAAAACAAATAAAAATCACTAATATTTCTTTTAAAAAGTTTATGACTGTATTAAAATTTTAACAATATCTGCATAAAACTATACACTTAAAATTGTGATATAACCAGTTATAAATGTTGAATACAGAATCACAGAAAACATTAAAATATTTAGTAATCTTGCCATTAGAACACTTGTCATTAGATAAAAATACACAGAACCAGCTACTGATTAAATTCTAACTTAGAAAAGTTAATATTTTAAATTATTTCTACACCTGGAGGGAAATTCTATCTCTAAACCCTAAGATAATGCCTAGTAACCTTACTATAATATCCAGTTGTTTCATATCATAAGAAAAACATGACAGCATCATTGATATTTTTTTAAAACCAACTTTATTGAAATAATTTACATACAACAATACACCCATTAAGTGTACAATTTGATGAGTTTTGAAAAATATATGCACCATGTAACCACCTGGGAAGAATACATGGTGCATCCATCATGTAAAGACCATTTCCATCAACTCAGAATTGCTACTCCAATCATATGATTTCTATCACCACAAATTTTTTTTTTTTGGCTCTAGAATTTCATATAAATGGAACCATTCAGTATATACTCTTCAGAGTCTGGCTTCTTTTGCTCGTAATGTTTCTGAAATTAAGCCATGTGTTTTTTAATGGCTGAATAGTATTCCATCGTACAAATATACCAATTTGTTTATCCATTTATATGTTGATGTTCCAATTTGAAGTTAACATAACTAAAGATGCTATGAACATTAGTGTAAAGTATTTTGTGGAGATGTTTTCATTTCTCTTGGATGAATACCTAAAAGAGAAATTGCTGGGTCACATGCCACTTTATGTTTAACTTTATAAGAAACTGCCAAACTACATTCTAAAGTGGTTGTACAATTTTACAATCTCACCAGCAGCAAGAGTTCCAATTGCTCCAATATTCACACTAACACTTACTATGAAGCTTTAATTTCAGCCTTTCTGGTGGACTCTGGTGAGGTTTTAATTTGCATACTGGCCATTTATATATCTTTTTCCATGAAGCATCTGTCCAAATCTCTTGCCCATTTTTTCACTGAATTGTTAGCCCTACAAATGACTTATAAAAGTTCTTCATATAGTCTGGATTTGTCATTTATATAGTTATTTGTCAGATATATGCACTGAGATTATTTTCTTCTAATGGTTATCTTTTGAAAAGCAGAATGTATCAATTTTTTCTTTTACAGCTAGGTATTTCTGTGTCTTAAGAAATCTTTGCTATGTCAAATCATGAAGATTTTGTTTTCTTCTAGAAGTTTTATAGTTTTAGCTTTTTCAGGACTTTAAGTAATTTCATATTAATTTTTGTATGTAGTGTGACTGGGGGGCAGAGGGGGAGTCTCACTTGTATTTTGACTGAAACTCATTTCCAATTCTTTCTCCTAGCTATTGATCTTTAAACATTTTCTCTTAAATTATGAAATGAAAGGCTTGTCCCTGATTAAAGTAAATTCAGACATTAGGGAACATGTTTTAGGAAATAAAACAATTTTGTTGCTCCTTCAAGTAACACTTGCCAGTAAATGCCCTTTTACCATTTTTATAAGACCCAGAGTAGAAATAGCAATATGTTTTCTTCCTCTTCTTAAATCTCAACTACTCATCCTCCTTCACTTATAACTCCCAGATGCCTACTTTTACTTCTTTTTCCTGGGCATGACGACTCCTTTACATGCTCTGAAATGTCTATGTAAAAGCTCCAAAAATTAAGCTCAAAGGACCTTGACGTAGAAACATAGGAATGAGACTATCTGTCAGACACAGTAACGACTAGCCGTGTAGCTATTCGAATTAAATAAAATTTTAAATTCAGTTCCTCAATTCCACAAGCCATATCTCAAGAGTGCTCAACAGCCACATGAAGCTAATGGCTACTATATTAGATGATGCTGCTATAAAATATTTCCATCACTGTAGAAAGTTCTACTGGATAGCACTGATCTAGACCTATGGGTAAGAACACTAGACATTGTGCTGCTGATGATAATTAAATGGCATTAAAAAAGGGTAGAATTTAACATGAATGCTGTCGATAACATGAAGATGTGGACAATGAATTTAAGTTTTGGATAAAAAATTAAAGAACTGACTTAGTCATTTAAAAGTATAGTTATTTATGCCAAGTCCCCACAATTATGGACTGAATCTTTGTGAACAACCCTCCATCTCAAATTTATATGTTGAAACCTTAACTCCCAATGTGATAAGTATTAGGAGGTGGGACATTTGGGAGGTAATCAGGTTTAGATGAGGTCATGACGGCATTAGTGCCCTTACAAAAAGAGGAATAGACATTAAAGCTTCCTCTTACTTCCATGTAAGGACACAGAGAGAAGGTGACCATCTGTAGGCCAAGAAGAGAGACCTCACCAAGAAGCAAATCTGCTGACACCAAGACCTTGGACTTCCTAAACTCTAGAACCATGAGAATTAAATGTCTGTTTTCTAGGCCACCTACAATATTTTGTTTACCACCCTTATTAAGAAGTACAGTATCTTTAAACTTTGAAACCTTGTCAGGTTAACTTTATCAAATTATATCTCAATTTTCAAAATATGCTTTTGATGGTATAGACCCATTGATCAGATCTTTTAGAAGAACTGGAAGTAATGTTACCTATATAAAATATGGATAAAAAGGGAGGCACTGGAATTAAGAATATAAAATTACTAAAAAAGGTTTCTAAGAACACAAACTCTTTATGCTCTCAGTTATTTTGATGCCTAATAGACTTTAATATAACCCAATGTCTCCTATTTTTTATATATACACCTGGACCACTTTTCATTTCCCCTGAAAAGGAGTACACAGTTTTCAATCAGTCATAATAACAACTAATCCCAAGTAGCAATTACTTAATTTATATCTGATATTATAAAGTCAATTAAAACCATGTTGCTTTTAGACACAGGTTTATGTTCATAGTAGTACAGGAGTTGGAGCCTGGTGAAGAAAGGTTTTAAGCAAAAGAGATGACTTGGAGAAGTATGGTTTTCAATATGAGTATAAGTTAAAAAGCAAAAATCCAGAAAAAGTCTTCAAGAGTTGTAAAAAAATTACTACAGATGAAGAGACAACACGATCTTTTGAAAAAATACTATCTTTTCAGGAAAAATTACCATTTAACATATCAACAATGGGCAGAAACACAGTACTATGCTTTCAACCCTATAGCAGGTATTTGGTAATCAATTATGGTATTCTTATTCATGGATATCCAAGTGCTACAGCAGGCATAAGACAGAACATATTTGCTATCCCAAGACCATATATATGTTATCTTTTATAACAGAATTAGAGTCTGAACTTTTAAATAAGTGATTTCTAAATATCTAGCATGTTATCTCCTCAGTACCCTAGTAGTTTGCCATTTAGTCATTTAATAGCACCTACCTAGTGCATGGGTCCTGCATGCTAGATTCGAGCTATCTGGAGGACACAGTTTATTGAAAATATACCATTTTCTTCACAACTCTTTTCCATTTCTAGGTCCTTTTTACTTTATTCAAAATTTTCTTCATCAATTTTACTACGTTAAATTACATTTTTGCCCTGGATGATTTTTTTGTCTAGGCTTTTCTTCTACCCCAAAGACCCGACTTATCTTGTATTTATTTATACAAGGGTTCTTACTGTGATCTGACTGCTGTCTGGTTTAGTGAATGTCTTGATTAAATGCAAGCAATTTTACTCAATGTCTGTTATGAATCAACTCCTATACTGGCAACGAGATATAAATATGGTTATTTTAGACCTTATAATCTATCATTTATACATAACATTTGTTGTTTGCTGCCACATTTTGATCAAGTTTTATACCTCACCACAAAATAAAGTCATGGATTACACCCAGCTTTTTTAAAAAGCTGAAAACCAAATATATTAGGTATACTCACAATTTATAATAACCTATTTTAACTTTTGTTTACTGCATAGTGAAATTACGTCTAGGTTTCATTAATCATTATCAGCTTACATCATCAGTAGTAACAAGGCTTTCGCTGGGAGTAAGTTCTGAGTTTGATGCTATCCAAGTACCAGAATTCACTGACTTTACATTTTCCCCTTCTTTTTCATGGTTCTCAGAAATATGTCTGGATACTATGTCCTAAATAAGGAAATAGATATTTATGTAAAGCATATATGTTTAATCACAATTTAAAAGCAGAAACAGACAGAAGAATAAATGTTAACACTCCTCACTTCACAGGTTAACTGTGAGAAAGAAATAACACGAAAGATAAAACACTGAAAAACTGTTCAGTAAAAGACTATCTAAAAGCTTCTTGAACTATAGAAGAAGTTTTAAAATGGTAAGAAAGCACATAGTAAACAGATCAAAATACATATGAAACAGGGGCAAATGCATCAGTCTAAGAAAGCAACCAGATAAAATTGTGAAGAACAGTGATACCAGAGAGGATAAGCAAAAGAGATTAGGTACCAGATACCTGCAATGCATATAAAGCCCTCTGTCTTAAGTAGTCTGTATTAAGTAGCTGAAGCTCGTGGAAAAGTTCAATAAGAAAATGTGGACGAGATTCATTTTGAGAAATTAACATAGCTACTTCAGAATAAATAGTATCCCGCAAAGCTTCGAACATGGAAAAATCACTCCCAGTTTCTGGAAGACATAAAAAAGCAGGAAATTAAATCTGATAAAATACTTTCCTCATAATTTCTATTAACTTGTATATTATACTCAGCTTTAAATTACTTAAAAATCAGAGCATACTTAATTCTACTTCAGGGCTTTTAAAGAAGAAGATTATTTTTACTAAGATAAAAATAATCTTAAAAATATCAAGATATATACTGTATATTAGAGAAATATTTAAATGTATCAATAACATTACGTAGCATTACTTAGGCCATACTTCTCAGTAATAAACATCTGGAAGATGTTATACATTTACAGGAATAATCAGTGGAAATCTTTCAGCACTGAATGATATTAGCTAAGTGCAAATAATTTTTTCTGCTCATATGAACTTGTTATAAAAAAGGAAATTTGTTAATACTGACAATAAACTGAATGCTGCCCATGAGCGCTACCATTTTAAAGGCTTTCTAGGTATGTCTACTAATTCTCAAATCTCAGTGATCATAACTGTAGTGATGAAAATCTGAATTTGTAACTATAACATAAACATAAAAGGTTACTCTTACTACATAGTGTATTACTGACATACTCAGTTGGAGCAGGCAGTGCAAGTTCTCAGTTTCATAGAACCTAGGCAAGTTCTGTTTCATAGAACCTCATTATTTAGCAACAATTCTGCTATATGTATTTGTTAATACAGAATTATCACCTTGACAGGTATACAGTCATACCTTTTTTTAAGAGTACAAATTAGGAACTATTCCTATTTTGAGTTCTCTATGAAAAAAAAAAAAATCCAAGTGGCTCTTCTAGAAGAAATTCTGTAAACTTTCTAGAGTAATAGGAGATCCACAAGTAGATAAGGATTCAAATTCTACAAAAATCAGTATTAACTTTGTAAGAAAGAAAATTTGAAATGTTGAGTTTTTTAATACATTGTTTTCAAATAAATATGCAAAGATAAAGATTGAATTCACTTTTTGCAAGAGAAGGATAACAAAATGCAAAGCAAATAGAGTTTAATGAAAAAACTTTTCACTAATTTCCTAAGTTAACATATTCAGGTCTTGATTTCCACAAGTATAATATAATAATGATAAACTGAAATTTCCCTATCTTGCCTCAAACATTTATGAGTATAAAATGAAAAAGATCTTTTAGTTTTAAAATGTCCAAATGTGATATATTACTACAAAAACAATATTTATTGTAAGAAGGAACCAAAACTATCTCTGTAGGAAATATCTACTTATAGGAAAAATAATCCAGAAAAGATATAATTTAATATGCAAACTTTCAATTTATATATTATAGTTTGACATAACTGTTTAACTTAAAAAATATTTACTATTTCAAAGATATAACAAGCATATTTAATATTTTTATGCCTCACTCTAAATTATATATCATTAAAGATTAAATTATTCTTAAACAACAACTATGTCAAACACATGATTCATCCCTCCTGCCTGCAACAGAGAGGTGAAAAGTTTTTGTATTCCTCCTCCTGGACTAAAATGCATTAGTTTAGGCTAGAAAAATCCTTAATCTCAGCCAGGTGTCTCTGATTCTATTTTGTTTTTATCCTATTTTAAAAAAGATTCTTTCTTTACAAAGTGACACATATTTAACTCTGTGCTAAGTCCTTGTTTTTCTTCCTTAGATCTCCCTAAAGGTTTATAACAGGCTTTTATTTTTGAGCCATGTGTAGTACAATAGGTATTAAAGAATATTTAGAATTCTAAATCACATATAACTATACTTAATGAAAATACATACTTTAAAGACAAAATCAACACTTTGGAATCCATAATTTTCCATGATCTTTATTTATCATGGTCTTTGCATTTTACAGTTGTTTTTATTTAATGGTTTATTCTTTGTAGGTGTTGATGGGTAATGAAAAATAAGCAACTACAACAGAAGTCATATATAATACTTAACACCGCAAATCAGAGCTAGGAATGAAAATAACTGCATTTATGTTTTCAAAAAATACTAATGCGCGTAAGCATTTAAGAAATACAATATAAATAACTTCACTAAAACACTAAATTATAAAAAGGTTTCATATTACCCATATGAATGTGTTGGTTATGTTACATACACAAACAGAAAATGAAAATAAGAAAAGCAGCCAATTTTACCAAGTAAAGAATTATTAAAAAAAAAAAGCTTTGGAATTTTATGAGTATGAATTTCATTTCACTTTTATAAGCTAAATAACATATATACATTAAGCTAAATCTTAAAAAAAAAAAAAAAAAACAGAGCAATAAAACTAAAGAATTTTAGGACCAATGGAAAAAAAATTAACGAAAAGAACAAAAAGTGGACACCAAAACTAAACATACTGTTACCTGGCGCTTCATTGCATGCATTTCTGTTAGACTGCTGTAGTATTCTCCTAGCATGTGCTGTAGGAAAGGGCAGACATAAGGATGAACATAAAATGTGTATGAATAGTAATGACAGGGTCTATAATATGTGAATGAAAAAAAGAAAGAAGTAAATTTCTTTAAAATTGTTTGCCTGAACTGAAATGTTATCACAAGGTATGGTTTATGTTCTATCTAAAAATAATCTCATTTAAAAAAATACCAAAAAATTTGCTATAAACTTATATTGTGACTGATAATAACTGTCATAATAAAACATAAACCATTCACTCTTAGAACCATATGCAGCAAGGTGAATCTCTCAGAACTCTTGAAGCAGAAGTGGACTGTATAATTCAATAATAGCAGTCACATATGTTACATTCTAATAATCATATAACAAAAACTAGTATTACAGGCTATAAAAAATGTTTAGGTTAGTGGTTAAAACTAAGTCTTTTTAGAAAGTATGTAAATACAAAGGTATATTTTCCAGTACATTTTTCAGTTCACCAAAATTCAATCATTTTATTATTCTAAGTGACAGTAATAAGGTCTGAAGTATCAAAACCAACTATCAATTACTTAGGTCATTATTTACTGCCTTTCCCCAACCTCCAGCCAAATGTTTACTCTTTCAAGACATCACTATTTGATAAAGATAGTGAAATGAGATGAAAATTATAGTAAAATGTCAGGGTCAAGACAATAAAACTGATATATTTGCCAAAAGGATCCTAGACTTAACAAGAGACCATGATTCAAACTTAAACTCTACACTTCCCAACAATATGACCTTCAGAAAGACATTTCAAAATACCAAGGGAAAAAAAAAAAAGATTATTTTTCTGATTACAAAATACTCACTATAAAAATTTTAGAAAACATAAAAGAGTTTAAAGATGATAACAGCACTATTAACATTTTGATGCATTTTCTTCCAGTCTTTTTTCATTCAGACTTTTATTTAAACATAGTTGGAATCAGATGGTTCAGAAAACACTAAATCTCAATTTTTTTTTTCACTTTTGTTTTCCTAGGATGAATGCCTACAGCAAAAGTTATTAAAGGCATTACTTTTGAAAAAGCGTTCCAGAAAAATTGTACCAGTTTATAATATTACTGGCCCTTTATGAGTGCCGTAAAAAATCAGGTACCCTCTCTGACCATGTATCCTCATGTGTAAATGGAAATAAAACCAGTTCACAGGATAATGAAGCTCAAGTGAGATGAGTAATTTGTTTAATTTGAAAACAATGAAGTATAATACAAATGGTCATTGCTATTATCACCAAGGATCTTACTGACTACTGAGAATTGAGTCTATATATTTCTTCGAAATGTACTTATTCTTTAAAAATTAAGAAAGTACTAGTACTTATTTAAATTAAAACAATGGCAAATACCTATGACTCCATTTAATAACACTGAGTAACTATCACACGTCAGGTATCATGCTAACATTTAAGATACAAATATGAAAAGGTATTATCTGCTGCCAAGGGACTCAAAAAGGTGATACAAGACACTTAATAGGTAAATACTATATAAGGTGATACAGGCAATGAAAGAGGCTACAGCAAAACAAAAACATGGGGAAAGAGAAACCTATCCCAACTCGGATTTGGATGTAATTTCAGAGTTGCAGAATTAAGACTTTATTTGAGTCTAGCAGAGAAAAGGGCTTAAAAGAGCACAAAGGACTTGAGGCAAAAAAAAGATAACTGCTGAGGTGAGAAACAGAGTGAAAGCTATGGGAAAAATTCAGTTCAATGCCACTATAAAAGAGTAAAGTTCAAGGCAGAGGGCGATAAGAAATGAGTCTGAAGAGGCAGGAAGGAACCAAATCTCTGCTGCTCAGATAAGTCATTACATTAAGTCATGTGGACTTTCTCCTATAGGCACAGTGAAAGCCAAAGGTTTTAAGCAAGAGAATGATATGACTGTTTACTGAATCCTTATGCGGAAAGGATTTTCAGAATTTTAAATTATATGTTCCAAGTTAATGTTAATTATACTTTTTTGTTTAGAATTTTATCAAAATGTGCTAAAAGCTTTATTACAGTAAAAATATTTCCAGTTTACATTTCTTGATATAAATGTGTACTGTTACCTCTACGAAATCTTGCACGTTAACAGAAAAGTATGATAGACCAATTTTAAAACTTCTTTTAATATAGCTTTAGCTTTTCAAATCTAAGATGAAGTTCTTAAATTAAAGCAAACCAAAAAGGAACATACCTGAAGATATTTCTGTAGACCTACTACATTTTATTATTTTTTCCAGCTGCTCATGATTCTTTCTGCTGAATACTTTTGCTTGAACAGGCTCTTCAGTTTGGGCTGAATGTCTGTTCCTACTTTTGCAAGGTTCACATGTGCTAGACAAACTGGCACTTTCATACCCTTGAGTAAAAAAAGTGACAACTATTATCAGTTGTAACTAATTCAAAATGAAAGGGAAATTGATTCTCATACTGAAATAGGAGAGGTAACTCAATTTAGAATGAAGGCCTGGTATAAACAGACTACATAACAGTAAATGGTATGTCTTGGAGATATCATTGCAATAGCCTTTGAAAGAATAGAGTAACTAATAAATTCTATCGCTTCATTGTCTTTTGATATCTGTCATAATGAGCATATCCCAATTCAAATTATATGGCAGACTTTACATGATCCGAATTCTCTACTAGACTCCAAGTTAACAATTTTTCAATATTAGGAAACATGAGAAAAAAATCACATCCAATCTATATAAGATGTCCATAAAGAGAGAAGAGTAATGGGCATTAGTCAAATGTCTCCCTTCTTATTACACCTTTTATGTAATATGATTTGGTTAAAAAGGTCTTACCCACCCACAGGTTATATAAATATATATTTAGCAGAATATATGTATATATACATATATATTCTACTAAACTTTTCTTCTAAATTTCATTTTTTAATATTTATTTTGGTATGAAGCACAGTAAGAATTCAATTTTATTTTGTTCCAAATGGGTAGCTGGTTATACTTACTCTTTTTCCCATTAATTTAAAACGCAAACTTGGTCAATATATTAAATCTCCATTTTTATTGAATTTTATTTCTGGGCCTTCTGTTTAACTTATCTCAATGCCATTTTTATTATTTTAGCCACATAAGTTTTACAGTATGTTTTAACACCTGGTAAGCCAAGTCCTACCACCTAGCTTTTCTTGGTTATTCTTGACTATTTCTCCTTCCAGGTAAACTGTAAGATATTTTTCCCAATTTCAATAACCATCAATGGGGATTTGATATTTAATAATTTTATGCATTCTCATCTAAGAACATGGTTATGTTTTTTACATTTGTTCATTTTTGTTTCATGTTCTTCAAAAATATTTTATAGTGTTTTTACAGAACTAGGACTTTCCTTGTTAAATTTATTCCTAAGGGCTTCCCCCGCCCCCAAAAGGTTTGGATACTACTATGAGAATATTTCCTCCCACTTCCGTTTCTATAATAAACCCTATTGACATGTCTAATCTTCTTTTTGACATGTTACAGATTAAATTTCCTAATATTTTACTTTAAATTTTGAATTTGTATTAACTGATTGAGCTACTATTTACTTTACTGAACTGTTAACCTCCCCTTTTCACCTTCCCCTATATAAAGATCTAAATTCTGATTCAAATATTGTTTCTGTAGTTTTCCTCAAATAGAATACATCAATATCTTTTCATCTTGACAGGTGAAGGGTCTCTAATTTGAGTACAGGATTCTTCAGTTGCAGTCGTTTTCGTCTGCATATGAATGTTATCCCCGCCCCCAAAAGGTTTGGATACTACTATGAGAATATTTCCTCCCACTTCCGTTTCTATAATAAACCCTATTGACACGTCTAATCTTCTTTTTGACATGTTACAGATTAAATTTCCTAATATTTTACTTTAAATTTTGAATTTGTATTAACTGATTGAGCTACTATTTACTTTACTGAACTGTTAACCTCCCCTTTTCACCTTCCCCTATATAAAGATCTAAATTCTGATTCAAATATTGTTTCTGTAGTTTTCCTCAAATAGAATACATCAATATCTTTTCATCTTGACAGGTGAAGGGTCTCTAATTTGAGTACAGGATTCTTCAGTTGCAGTCGTTTTCGTCTGCATATGAATGTTATTCCATTTTCTTCTATTTCTAAGACTGTCTGATTTTAATTTGGTTCTTTTTCATTGTATATAACTTGTTCTTTCAGTCTGTAACCTTAGATTTTTACTATTTTCTTAGAATTCTGGAATTTTATCAGAATATCATAGGGTGTGTGTGTGTGCACAGGAGCTTTCCCTCCTTGCCTCCTGGCTAGACAGCCACTAACTGTTTTGATCCTCAGCCCTCAGTCTCTCTTCATTAAAGAGTCCTCTTTATTATTTAATTATTGTCTCTCCACCTATTTTTTCTCTCCTTTAGAACTCCTCGCCTATCAGATCTCCAAGATTTGTCCTTAAGCCTCTAATCATTTTTCTCTTGATCCTATCTCTGAGTACCTTTTGCTCTGTGTAATAATGTAAGTCTTCCTCTCAACTTTCTAGGCTACTAGTTGGGACTTAATAATATTTATCCCCTTTTCCAAATAATCTAAACATTGTATGTGAAAAATAATTCTTTCTAGTTCTAAATTTGTTATAATTCAATCCGCTAAAGTGTTATTATTTTGTTCACGGAGTATTTCCTTCAATAATTCTGTATTCACTAGATTTTGCCTGTTCTAGTGGTCTGTTTCAATGTCTTCTCTCTGGTTGCTGGTCTCTTTTATATGCATAGTTATATTCACTAGGCTAATCACAACTCTTACCTACCACTGAGGCTGGAATCCACTGCTAGGTAGCTTTAATGGCAGCAGCTGACAGTGCTTAGAAGTCTCACTTCTACAGTGAAGCAATATTCTGGCTAGCAAGTTGTTGGTCTCCCATTGAGACAATAAAAAGAAGTCTGTCTCCTCAGCTGCAAAGGTAAATGCTAGCCGAGGTTCAGGGTAGGGAGGATGCCACCTACTTGTTTAACAACATCCTTGCCCATTTGTACCTTGAAGTGGCAAAAGACTGCTACTCTTGGAAGGGAGGGGGATGCCAAGAATAGAAGGGGTTGTGTAGATCTCCTCAACCAAGTTAAGTGTGGTTCTCCAGAACCGCAGAGATCTGATCCTTGTCCCAGACACTCTCTGAAAGAGCCAGTGGATATGAAACCTTGCTGCTTACATACTTCGTATCATAGCAACTGCTCTGCTAATAACATATTCTCAATATACTATCAGTTTATTCTCTGTGATAGAATATCTGGAGTTAACTTTCCCTTTCTATTTCTAAAGCCATCATTCAAGTCAGGATTTCATTATCTCACTTTAGGTTCCCGGTTTCTTCATTGATCTCTCAGACTAAACTCTAGCCACTCTCATTTATTCTGCACAAACTTTACTGAAAAAAAGAGTTCTCTTGGTTATTTTTGCCCTTCATATAAAACAGGTCCAGCAATAAAGAGTATGATTGCTAAAATATGAAATATGAAATTGGTAGTACTATTGTTCATTTACTAGCAAACAAAGCTCTGATGAAAAGTATGTTATTCTAACAAAAATTAAGCTTGTTATTGAATCATGTGAAAAATATTGAATGAATTCTAATCAAAATTAAAACACAGATTTTGTGGCATACACAAAATTCTCTTTGAGAAGCACCAATAGGAACTTCAGAGATAAACATACCCTCCAAAACAGCTGAAACTGTGAAAAAAACCATGCTACAATCATTTAATGCTACAAAAAAGTTTTAAAAACTATGGTTTTATGAGTTCCAAATTAAAAACATCAAGGGCTAGATTTCCAAAGATAAGGTGCTAGTGTGTGACTGAATTAATTCTCTTTGGAGCACTTTAATAGTAATCCTCCAGGGAGAGTAGGAGACTTAATGAGGTTAATAATAACTTAAGAGTAACACTTGCTGGGCCACCCAGAACAACAACACATGACATTCATTATTGTAAAGGTGTTATCCTCTATCCCATTTCATCACATCTTGCCTTATCCTCATCATTTTCCTCAGAATGAGTGGCTGACATAGCTAGAAGAAACAGGTCTTCTAGTCGTGTCTCCATTATAGGGAAACAGCTCAACCACGGCACCCTGCATGTATCCACATATGGCACATAGGCAAGTACTAAACTGTAGCTCAATCTAAGCCTTTACAGAAGGCCTTATGATGAACCTCCTGGAACATGGAACACAAGAACATGGGAGGTTTGTGAAGAGTTGCTATGTGGTCATGTTTACTTGCCTCCCCATCTCCCCTGGAAAGCTGTCATGAAAGTTTTTCATTTCTCTGGTTCTAATGACATGAGACCTTTCTGTCTCATCCTGAGGACACACCTCTATTCTAAAAAGTGGCTTAGCTATAGCACAGTATTGGTTCCTCAGCAACAGATGTCCCACCACTCATGTTACAACTGCCATCTGGCCCCTTTTGTTTGTGTTGCCCTTACGATGTATAGAATAAGAGATACAGGAAGCTGGCACCTTTAGGTACTCTTCCTTTCTCTCCCTATGTAAGTAATAAACTCTGGATCTAAAAAGGGCTGTTTTTTTACTGTCCACATTCTTTAGAACTTCCTTGCCTAATGCTTAGCATCTATTTAATCTCAATCTCCATTAGTGAGCAACAGGAAGTGGAAAAGAAATGAAAAGATTTAGGGATGGGAAGAATCCCGAAATCAGTACATTAATAATTCTAGGCAAGTTTCCAAGAAAAAAATGAGGAAGATCTAGACTATATGCTCCTACTCCTCTTAATAATATCAAGAAGGAATGGACCTGGTAGCTTGTGGCTAAATTATGCATCTGGTAACCAAATTATAGGCAAAAAATTATATTCAAATCAGAATAAAATGAAGTTTAAAAGACGACTATCACATAATTTGTAAAATCTAACTTCACATGCAATAACATATATCTTTACATGAGACTTTCTAAAGATTAAAATACATTACTATCATGGGAAAAAATGCTAAATGAAGATTTACCATGCCACTTCTGAAACACTGTCAATAGTGTAATGCACACAGTTCAGTCAAGTAAGTTTTGGACACTATACCTGGCTGTGCACTAAGTCTCTCAAGACAGCAACCTAAGTCGCTCTATGCTGGTGTATTTGTCATAACCTATTTCCTTCCCTAGTTCCTCTCATTTTTCCTTCCTGCCTTGTCCTGACTCCATATTTTTTTGTTACTACAATTTGGAATGCTCCATACACCTCCATTACCACTTCCTTTACAACAAAGTATACATCTTTTCTTCTAAGAAATCAGGGCTATTTCTATGCCATAAAGAGAACGAAAGCAACATAAATTAGTGGTTTGGCTTAGTGTTGCTCAGACTTTAATGTGCACCTATTCATATTAAAACACCTGGAATCTTGTTAAAATGTATGTTTAAAAACAATGGAAAGACATTCAAGTAGATTGGGCCCCAAAATGTACATTTCTAATAAGCTCCCAGATGATGTCAATGCTGCCTGTTCATGGCTCACATTTTGAAAAGCAAGGATTTAAGCTGACTAATTTGACTTTGCTACATATTAGTTTGTGCTATCAAGTCTTTTTTGTGTGTATGTGTGTGCCCTACAGATGGTTTCGAATGCCTACTGATCAAATGTGAAATATATGTTTTGGGCAGGTATTTTTATATTCAAGTATAAGAGAACACATAGTTCAGAATGTCAGTCTTTGCCTTGAATACAGCTGCTTTGTACATATATAGAAAAGTAACTCCTCAGAATAAAGGGGTTTCAAAAATACAAATATACCAGTATTTCTAGGTTTAGGTAGACATGACCATAAGTTGACTAAGAGCCCTCTCAGACCCTGCTCCTCAAAGTATAGCCCACAGACCAATACCGGCAATACATGGGAGCTTGTTAGAAACACAGACTCTAAGGTCCCTCCCCAGACTGCCTGAATCAGAATCTGCCATTAAACAAAATTCCCAAGGAGATTTGTATGAAACATTAAAATTTAAGAAGCATGGCCCTAGCACACTCAAATTAACTAAGTGAATAAAAGAATGCTGGGATAACAAATGTTAGTTCTTCTTCATTTACTCATGACAGAAAGCATTTGGGCGGGGCAGGAGGGGAAGTATTAGCGAATAAAAAGTTCAATGAGTTAACTCAAAAGGCCTCTCTCAAAATGGCCATTATCTACTTAAATGTTCTCTGGTGGCACCAAGAGTAATCTTGGAGAAAGCATAGTAGTTGTATTTTCATTTGAATGGTTTCAGATCATTGACTAATTTACTAATAAATCAGCTCCTCCCAAACCCATTAACTGAAAAATTATTTAGAATATGACAATGTGTAGAAATGTTAGAAAATGTTACCTCTGTTCAAATTTGTTTAACCATCTTCACGTGGGGTAGGAGTAGGAGCCAAGGACTTCAATGGTACATTAAACATCAAAATGAAAAAAAATGTACATATCCTTGTGTACACCTATAGTTTGTCAGATTTTTCAAGGATTCCATTACTAAAAAATGATGAATGCTGCCAGAGTTTACAAGTGGATTTTTTACTACAGGATTTCTCAGGACCTTTACTTACATATATGGTGAGCTTCCAAGAGAGGGAGCTTGCAATATGCAGTGATTTTTCAAACTTTTCTGATTATAAGCCTAGAATACTTTGTCCTTAAGCATAAAATACTATCTCCTTGAATTCAGAACAAGCACTCAAAGACACAGCCAAAAAGTAACCTATGCAAACTTGAAAAGGCATCCTTTAGCTAATATTCTAGATTTCAGTTAGTAAAACTATTTTTAACATATGGTTAACACTGCAGAGAAATTTGATATGATATTCAACAGCAAGATTCAAAAAAATATGGGTTAATATCATACCTTATTAACTAAGATTCAGTTCCTGCAGGGCTAAGAGCAAACTTGTTTTAAAAGTGGTTTCATCTATATAATATTCAAAGACTGCAATATAAAGGCCCACATTTCTTCAAATTAATCAGTCAAGAATCTAACCAGAAGTCATGACTAAAATGTTGCATGTAGGACAAGATGTAATACTAAAAGTGAGAGAATAGTAAAACTTGGGCATTCTAGCAATTTTTTAAGTAACTTACAAGATTTGCAAAAAAACTTGACTTCACAAGTAGCCACATATACAGGAAATACAAGAAGCTCTAAGACTCACAAAAAAGAATAAATGCCATGTTTAAAAATATCTACAATATCAAACTCTATTTGATAAATTTCATAAAAAAATAAAATGTGTAATGGTAACTAAAAATGACTTTGTTCAAGTAGGTGTAGAACAGTGTCCACCCATCTAGCCATACTGAAATTAAATATGTCAATATGCCAGAGTAAGGTTAATCAACATTTATAACCAATAGATATTCAACACCTTCAATACTTACCAATATTTTTAACTCTGCTTTTCAGCTGAGTAGAATGCCTCTTCTTACTCTTTGATTTAGGAGTTTTATCTTTAGATGCCAGGCTGGCCTGTGCAGATGCTTTTCTTGTCTTGAATGTTTTAGTTACTGTTGTTGGATCTACTGGATCAGGCATACTGCTAAAGCTTTCTAATGACTCGTCATCAAAATGGCGTCTTCTGTTGGTATCTAACTGATTTTTGCGATTACTATTTGTAGTTTTCTCTACAGACACTGTAAATCCAGTCTTGATAAATGGTTTTTCTACTTCACCTTCTTGGGCATATAACCATGGTGTCCTACTGTTTTCCACTTCCTCTTCAGACTGTTTCTGATTCCTTATCAATGAAAATAAGTTTTTATATAGATTACAATGATAGATTTCTGTTTACTGAAAACTCTAGATATAGTGCTTAATTTATATTTACTAGTAGATTTAGGTAAATAAAATCATCAACATGCTAAATATTTTCACAAAAATATGCATTAAATATGTAAATATTATATAGACTAGTGTACTAAATTATCTTAAATTTTAATACTGAACTCTTCTCACTAGATCATTTCATTGGCAAAAGTCCCAAACCAAAGATCTAGCATTCTTAATAGAAGAGTAGGAAAGAAAAATCAAGGAAGAATGGGACATACAAGGAAAACACAACAACAAAACAACTTGAAGAAAGAGCTAAGATCTGTAGCAGAGGGTCTGAAACATACATGGATTTGTATCCCCTGAAGCAGTTCAACTAGAATCAAAATTTGGTGAAAACAATGGCCATGCAACTAGTAATTTATTTCTCTTGGTGTTTTCTAGTTTAGTTCTGTTGGTAGTGTCATTTTCCAAATTTTATCTGCTAAACATTGGCATCCCTTAATACCTTAAAAGATATATTTACTGGTTATCTAAATTTGGGAAAAACAGTCAAAACAAAGTTAAACAGGTCTGTAGAATTTCTCAGAACTTTTAATATGCCAATGTACTTTACAAAATGTCTTAGAAGGAAACATAGAAAGATGTCCAAAACCTTTTATCACAGAACTTGACATAGGCAACAGTGCACTTAAGAACATAATTTGGAAGACAATGAACTACAGAGTTTAACTTAAGACAAAGATTAGCAAATTTACACTTTGCAGGCCAAAACTCAGGCTGCTGCCTGTTTTTGTACGGCCTGACAGTGAAAATAATGTTTATATTCTTACATGGTTGGGGGGCGGGAGGGAAGGAGTGGAGGGGAATTGAAGGAAAAAAATATGTGACACAATTATATGAAACTCAATTTCAGCCAATAAATAAGGCATTATTGAAACACAAACACTCATTTGTTTACATATTGTTTATGGTTGCTTTTGTACAAAAATGGCAGACATAAAAGGGAATGACAGGCACTGTAGGGCCAGCAATATTTACTATCTAAGCCTTTCACAGGAAAAGTTTTCTGACCCTGGCTCAAGACAACACTGTTCATCTGACCTCTCATCTCCATCCTAATTCAGGGAACCTATACTAGTTGAGATTTTCTGGAAGGGCTGAGGTCTAATTTAAAGTAGGACAAATATCTGAAACAATATTAGATACCTATAGCTATCCTTTCTTACTATCAATTATGTATAAAATAGAGATAATAATGAAATAGGGACCTTCCAGTAGGAAGGCTATTCATTAAAACTTTGAAAAATGTTTATTGCTTATGATAGAGATTCATTCAACCATCATTTCTGAATGGCAACTATACACTATAAACACTGTTGGTTCTGACAATATAATACTTTTATAAAGTAATATGAGATTTAGTAGGGAAAAATGGTTAGTACAGCTTAGAAAAACTCAGGGAGGTCAATCATAGGACTCCTAGAGGCAAATACAAAGTTGAAGTCTACAAGTTTTTGGTTAATCACATAAAAAAAATTCATGATTTAACAATTAAACAGTGTCATTGCTAATTTAATCCCATAATTAAAGATAAAAATATGAATTATATATTTGTAAAAGGCTAGGAAAGATAAAATCACAGAGATACTTCTGACGAACGAATATTAAGCTCAACTGACCTCTAATCTTCATCCTCCTAAAAAGATTTTTCTGAAGCAAGAATAAAAAAACTAATATTTTCACCAGCTTGCTAACAAAATCATTTTCTGGATTAAGACAATCATTAAAAACATTATTTTCCAGCTATAAAAATGCGTACAGAATGATCAATCTGACCTGCTATGACTAGTGTTTAACACTATTTGAGTCAAAATTATATTTAGGAAGATTATTATATTAAAAAAATAATATATGATGAGAAACAGAGAAAAAGAAATCTATGATTGGTACCATATATCACTAAAACTTCCTTGGCTAAAGTTGTTTTTATAATCTAACAGTATTCGACATTACATTTGGATAAGTGTTACAAACTCATTCTGATCAGGAGCTCTCAATCAAATAAGGGAGACATCGCTTTGTAACAACTGACCTCTGGTAGTTAATATTAGTTCTTAGTCCTAAATCAGTGAACTTAAAGACGGATATCACATTAAAGCCAAAACACAGTCAATGGATCATGTCTTACCCTTCTAAAACAAATCTCACAGGACACCCTGATCAAAACTCTGAACTGCTATATAGGGTTGATAGTAGGTTTGGCAGCAGGTGTATGCCTGAGCAACATCTAGTGTGATGTCCAAGTTTCATATTCCCAACACCACCAGGCCAAACAATCACAAACACCCTCCTTGTGTTTTCAAATTACATGTAATTAGATGTAATCACAAAAGTGATGTTTAAGCAAATACTAGATTATGTTTGCAATCGAGTACCTTTGTTTTTCTGGTCCAATAGAAGAACTGCTTTCAAAAGGTTTTGGAAAAGCCATATATTCTGTTTTTCCTGAAGAATTCTGGGCTAATGGTTGCTGCTGTTCAGTGGGTGTAGAAATATTCTGAGAAAAATCTCCAAAGTTAGAAGGAAATAAAGGGCTGAAATTCATACCTAATAAAGTAATGGATAAGACAATAGAGCTTCTTTAGCCTTACTATGAAATTAAAAGACAGTTCTAATTAAATGTGGCATTCATATGCACCAAAACAAAAATCTGTTAATTAAATGAACACTCATTTATTAAATCACTGTTTACAGCTCAGCCCACTATGTTTTCAGCATTTGTGACACGAAGATAAATAAAGATTTTATCCACTTAAAAGCTGAGTTAGAAATAATAATACCTAACATCAAATTATTATGGGATGCCAGACTCTACTGTAGGCACTATACATATTATTTCATTTAATGTTCAAAATGACGCTATGAAATAGGTGTTCTATTCGTTTTACCAGAAATGAACAGGCTTAGAGATCAAACGTCTAGTAAATGGAAGAGCAGATGAGATGTTGGGTCTGCATGGCTCCAAAGCTTAACATGCTTTAAGCTCTACTTTAATTGAAAAAGTAAAATATAATTAAATACTTGCCATACAGTGCCATAGTGCCATATCAGAAGTATTTGCAAGGGGCTACTAACAAACAACCTGGGGGATAAAGGGATCTGGGATGACGTCACAAAATTTGAAGTGGTTTGTGAAGAATGAACAGTCTTTGTACAAGGTTGGCACTGGTATGAAGCACACTGCAGTGAAAAGGAACTGCATGTGCAATTTCTTATATTATTTGTTACTTAAAAGCCTACTCAAAAAAAAGGTTTGCTGCCAATGCTAATTGATACCCAAGAGCTAAAAAGCTTGTTAAATTTTTCTAACACCATTGTTTCTATAATCCTATTAAGAAAATACACTGTGGTATTTTTATTCATTTATATTTATATTCACAAAGCCCTTCCAAATCTCTTTCTCCCTGGAAAACACCTTCTTGAGTCACTTCATCTAACTGGTCACTTAACTTATTCCACCTCTAGAATGTCTTTTGAATTATTACTTTTCCTTTATACCTACCACCAATGCCTTAAGTGAGCTCTAATTTTTTCCCCTGCTATTAAGGCAACAGTTTTCTATTTTCTTTACGCCAGCTATATTCTTGGCTCCTTCTCTCCTATCTAACCTCAACACTATCACCAGTGTAAACTTTCTTAAATATATATCTCATGCTATCTCCGTGCTCAGAATCCTTCAAGGGCCCCTCTCATTTGCAACAGAAAGTCTCAGTTGCTCTGCAAAGCACAAAAGCCCTCTGCTGCTCTCCAGCCACATCAATTATTCTTACCCTGCCATGTCCCTAAAAACTAGCCACACTTATGACCTTCAAATTCTCTATGTGATATACTGTTTCATTGCTTTGTAACTCTGAGTGGTTCCATTGATTAGAAAGCCCTTTCCTTTATAATCTCCCTGGAAATAAATTCTATTCATTTTTTGCTTAAATAACACTTTTTCTGGAGAAAATTTGTAGATGATCTCTTGCCCCAAAGAAGAACAGGTCACTACCTCCCTTTGCACTCATGGCACTGCACTAAGCATTTATTAACATTCTTAGCTTTCTCACTAGACTCTAAATTCCTTAAAGCATTGGTCTTACCTTTGAATCCTGTCATTTATATAGTGTCTGGCACATAATGGGTGCAGGAAAAAAGTCTGAATAAAAGCCTAAGTACACACCTTTAATCTAGCAACAAATCTCCCTACCAAGACATGAAGCTTCTCTAGAAGAACATTATCTTATTCATCCTTATTCTCCTAATATTTACATAATGCATGGTGTACAGGAGGCTTTGGATAGGTTACTTCCCTTTCTCCTTAATAAAGCTGCTGAATAATTCAAAGGTATAAGATTTAGCAATCATTCATAAATAGTTTAATTAATTCCATTACCAACCATATTAAGGTTAAGTTTTCACTATAAACACAGAAAAGTTTGTAACTTTCCTTACAAACATTTCCTACCACTCCAAAGAGACTGATAAAAATCCATGCAATAGACATTTAATATTCTCAAATACTTTATACTTGTTTATTTTCCCTTTCAGTTTTCAGTCACTTACCTGGTGCAAATGATGAAAAATTAGTAAACCCAGGTAGGTTAAATAGATTTACAGGCTGTGTTGGAAAGGTGAAAGGACAAAATAAACTGGGAGAAGAAGGATGTGATGCGTTACTGCCTCTTTCCTTGCTTCCAGGTTTTTCTGGATGCTGATTTTGTTGGCGTGTAAGTTCACTTAGCATTTGTTTCAACCTATAAAAATTTAAGAAGTCAGTAATCTAAGAATCAGTTATATTACCATCTATTTAAAGTTCATTCAACCTCAAAGGCAAGGGAAGTAAAAGCAAAAATAAATGAATGGGACTATATCAAACTAAAAAGCTTCTGCTCAGCAAAAGAAATCGTCAACAAGGTAAAGAGACAATCATCCAAATGGGAAAACATATTTGCAAGCAACACCTCCAATAAGGGCCTAATATCCAAAATATACAAAGAACTCATACGACTCAACACAACAACAAAAATGACCCAATAAAAAAATGAGCAGAGGACCTGAACAGAC